AGGTTGATGGTTGTAAATCTCATCGTGTCCGTGTCGAAGACGTGATATTGATGTAGTCAGCTAACGTCTGTGTATATGTCTCTGAAGGCGCAACTTGAAGTTGCAACAAGGTTCCACTAATAGGAAGCTGGATAGAGGTACGGAGCAGTGACTTGCTCATCATTATATATCCTCAGTGGCCCAAAATATCTTCCGGAAACTTTATTACGGACACATAAATGCCATATCTGTCCGTGGAATTCAGAATTTGCAAGGACTGACAAGGTTCAGAAGGAGCTCCGCACCCCACAATATGCATGTTGCCTGAAAAGATGTCGTCCTAACCTGGGTCAATCAGGCTTCGCTGACTCTATACCCTCACCAAAACTCCGGGCCAGTGGAACGACTTTCTGCCGAAGTCATTGACAAAGTCATCTCTTTCAGTCAATAGGCAACCTGACGTCTCACCGGCGGCCGCGTGTTGCGATTCAAACCTGCCTATCTGAGTGAGAAGGCATCAGTCTGTTTTCCCAATATGTCCGGACAGGAAATCGTTGAGGTCGCGGCATGTGCGACGATGAGGTCCCACCTGTTCTGTCACCTGTGCTGGACATTCCAATCCCCCGGAAAACGGATCCTGACAAATGGCAGCTCGTTCCGAACCTAGGACCGCCCTGCCATCCCAATGGGCTCGAGCAGCATCTGCAGTCAGTGCACAGCATTGAGATTGTGGCAAGTTAGGGCGAGCCCACCTTCCAGTCATTCTGGTAAGCCGTGTTTGGTGTTTGCGGACCAGTCGAGGGCTTTCAACCAAAGCGGGACCCTGCACCATGTGTCGGGACTCAGAGGCAAGAGTTTGTTACGCATTAACAAGAGAAAAATCCTCTCAAAGATGCTCAGTTCCACGCGCCATCCAACTGGCTGAGAACAGTCATGCTCTAGGGAAACCCGGTTTGCTGGTCCAAAGGGACGTTGAAATCAGCGCTAGCAGCATGGTCTTCGTCCAAGACGCTTGCAAATTCGTCCATGGTTTTCATTGGATGCCAATGGCCAAAAGATGTAGTCTAATGCCAGAGAATCAGGGGGTACCAAGACTTTAAGCCCGCAATCGTTGCCCCCAATACGAAGTGAAAATGTGAAATAACGCTGGTTATTCTGCAAATTGCGACACTGGTGTACTTCGACCGCACCTCTCCACGGTCAGATGTCTCCCCTGCCCAACCAAAATGTGGGATATGGTGTTTGGTGGTGGGAAAATTCCCAGGGGAACGTTCTGCTCCAAGCGGGGAACGCAGACCAGGGGGCTCCACAGCTCACCCGACCACTCAACCCATGCGTTTACAGATATGCGCAAGCAATGCACCGCGTGATGGCATGCCTGACGAATCGAGCAAATGGATGAATCGATACCCTGGCTGCAAGCGGTCGAGTCGAATGCAGGCCCATGCCAGCAAGTTGTCCTTGCCAATCGAGCGGTCGTCCATGACTTTTAGTCTATGCACAGCGTCAGAAACGGTTCACGTTCTCTGCAACTCGATCAAGCCACAATATGACCTGTCACGTATTAAAATGATGCAGGACGGGAGATGAGGATGGGTAGGCGAAAATAAGAATGTCGTGTAACACGATCGTACATGAAGATCGTATGCGTGTCACACAATCCTGCAATTGGTCCTTGTCCTGCAGCTCCAGCAATGCGAAGCTCGAGCTTGGATCAGGCCCAAATTGTTTGTCGTTTCCTTGGCGGATGTACCAGAGGTTAACGCACATCAGCAGCCGTGTGGAAATGCGGAACATTGCCCAGATGATGCAAGCCTTGCCGGGGGTATAACAACCCAACTTGGCGGCGACTTGAGAACTTGGCTCATTGTCTCCGCTTGATGATGCACTGGATGTTGTAATGCACAACGGAACTTTTGCAGGTCGCCAGGGTAGACGCCGGAAAAAGACAGTTGAAAGGGAGTACAAGCAAAGTAGTTCCAGACCAGGCCAAAACTTGCGGTGAAAAAAATGTAGCGCGAGGCATCAGGCGGAGCCTCTGTCGCTTTGAACGTTGGAAACAGTGGCATGATGATCACGGCCATGCTGAAGTGGATATATCTCCTTTCCGGGAACGAAAGGAACTTTGCAAAATGAACCTAGAGATATCGGAAAGACATAAGCAAGTAAAAAAAAAAAAAAAACACATACCGAATAAAGCTCAATTCTTGGAGGACGTCTGACATATTCAGCCAGCTCATTACCTCACCCTTGAAATCGGGACAATCGGTGCGGGCATCGGCGGATCTACGTTTAAAGAGGCTGGGGTTGATTTCTTCACCGCCATGTGGTTCGGTTTCCTTTTTGGCGTCGCCGAGCCTGTCCGAATCCTTGCCATCGTCAGGAGAGCAAAGAGAATCGACGTGTAATTGCATTTTGACATATGGTCTCATTTTGGAAGCGTGCGAGATATCCTTATCGGTAGGGATGGGGAGCCGTTGCGCTGCGAGAAGTCGAATTTCCAGATCTAGAGGTTGCCTTTTGGGTTCAATTTCTCTTTGCGAGTTTGCGCGCCCGTGGATTGCGGTGCTGCGATAGCCCTCTGGCTTCAGCATCCAACCACCTGTTCCTGTGAACATTCCCTCGTTGAGCATCATTCCCTTGTCCAGTTTCTGCCAGTTCAAGGCCACCATTTGGGCACCCTGTCTCCAATGGAAGACCGGATCGACATTTGAGCTGTTGATTCTCGTGCCTCTGGGAAACACGCGCATGAGAAAATTTCTGTTGTGCTTAAACAAGGCAGGACCATGCGACGGGTCGTCGTGCATGTTACGGACTTTCTTCTCCGACAAACTGAAGACGTGTGTTGGGATAGTGGCTTCAGGTTGTGAGAAATGCCTAAACGTATAGGCCCGAGTATAGATCCCCAGTTCTGAAAGGGCAGCCAGCACTTTCGAAGCTTTTTTCCGTTTCTCTTGGGAGCTGGATATTGCATCGCTTCCCGCCCCATCCGTGGAATTTGAGCTCACATGCTCAATTGGGTCATTGGATTCTCCGGTCTCTGTATTCGGGATCCACTTAACCTTGATCAAAATCTTTCGCATGAGTGACTTTGGAGAAGGAAGCGCCGAAATGTCTGTGCCTTTGGGCAGACATACTAGGAACTCGGACCAAACATCGCGCATAATCTCGACCATGACCTCTTGCTGGGAAAGGGAGGCGTGCACTTCAAGGGATACGATCAATGGTAGTTCTGTGCTCACAAAAGCCGAATCTCTGATGGCATGGCAGACGGAGCGAAACGTGATGGGTTGAGTCAGTGTATAACCATGGAGTACTCGCGGCTCACCCTTGGGAAGAAGTGAGGGTGAGGGCTGTGGTGAAAGATGGTTGGGGTCATACGCGGACGACTCTCGCTGTTGCGTGTTTAGGGGTTGAGCAGCGGGCGGAACAGGGGACTTGTCGGACATGGTATTGCTCGTGGTGGCCGCAAGGGACTCTGACCGCGAGCTTGAGCGCATGCGTGATGCTCGAGCTTTGACTCTGTTCCAACGCGATGGCTTCGGGTCAGACTTGTCAGACTTGTCCTCCTCGTCGTCCGAAGTACTGGATTCAGGGTCGCTTTCACCATCCCATACATCTATTTCCAAACACCTACACCCACGCCTGAGAACGTTGGTGTAAGCATACACAGAGGCGTCGCCATAGAGCTGATGGCCAGAAAGATATGTATTATGACTGGAGCTTATGAAGTAGGAGGACATGGGGTAGCTCAGGTCGTTGCTCATGGGTGCCGACATTACGTTCGACTGGTCGGAGGCCATGTACGTCAAGAACGACTTCTCATCAGCAAACTTTTTCCCATCTTGTGACGAGATCTCTTTCCTCGCTGAGACAAGATGCGAAAGGACGGACTCTGCGAAAGGCTCTAGGGAGATATCTGTCGCAGCCTCTGAAGGCTGGCCGCCTCCGCCAGCACGAAGAGGGAGTTGGTAACCCAATATCGCATGCGCCATCATCTTCAGTGTATCTCTGTTTCTCTTCAGCGGTATATGTCGCTGGGGATAACGAGTTGTATGGCGCAATGTGTGGCGGGGACGATGTTGTCGGCGGTATTCGGTTTCGAAGAGGGACAGCGAGGTAACGACCACAGTCTTCGAGGTCAGGTCACGAAGAAGGAGCAAAAGAGAGGCATAGAAGAGCGTAGTCTAGGCATATCAAAGTGGGAATTGGCAACTGTCACCCAGGATGGTGTTTGGAGTTTGGGAAGGAAGAGGTGCTGGCGTTAGCGGTGGTCACTAGCAGCGCAGGCATGGGCAGTCCAGCCTCACCAGCCATACACGTGGAGGGATCGTCCTGAGGCCTTTGCGCCTGCAATTGGCGTTGGCCATCATCTCACAACTCACACAGAGTTCCTGGTAGAGCTGAAAATCAACGTCTTTTCGCGTCGCTAGCTGCGTCGGTCGGTGGAGCCCCATGCTGGCACAGCCTGCGTTGAAGTTCTGCAGCGCCTCGAAGGAATGGCGTCACCAGCGCCAAGAAGTCTGTCACTCCTACAGGAGCCTTACAGGCAAGGCGAAGCAGGGCGGGTTACACTTGATATTCCGTATACCGAGTACACATACCACATACTACGGAGTACCCCGTACATACTGTGCCATCAGAGCCAAAAAAAAAAGCCACCGCAAGCCAGGATCAGAGAGAAAAGGAGCAGGTAGATTTTGAAGCCTTATCTACAAAATAACCTCGTTTGCTCATGGTTCGTTCCAAAAAGGACAAGGCAGAAGAAATGAAACAGGCAATGAAATTTCATATATTTCCGCTCGGCTCGACAAGGCTTCCAAAGAATCCCCACGAGCTTTGCACAGGTGATGTCTTTCCAACAGACTACCTTCTTCAACCCATCGAATTGACATGACTTCCAGGAGAAGAAATAATTAGATATGCAAAGAGAAGGAAAAATTCCTCCATGCCAAGCTGCAGATTTGGTTAGCAATGACCAAATCATGCCAGAGAAAGAGGGATCGTACTCTAACGACATTTTATGCCAGGTCACATGCCCATACGCCTGTGTTCGAAGACAGGGCACAACCAATCTTGGAATAAGAGGTGCTGGTGAGGATCTCTGCGTGACCGGTCTCTCCGTTCGAGTGGTCCCAACCTTGTGCTGCAGTAGAGCAGATGCCGTCCAAGCCAGGCAGGCTCGGGATTTCGCAAAGCCATCCACCAACATAGACGCTCTCGAAGTTAGAGGGAGTGCCGGGTGCCAATACTTGCGCCATGGTGCCCGGGTTCAATTCGTGAATCAGGCCACCGACGCTGTTTGTGCTGGTCTTCATGGCATTGGCCTCGAGTGTGCTGTCCTGCGAGAGAGCAGGAAGGCCACCAGCAGCGCGCCATTTCGAGACGACCGACATGTAACCGTCCTGAGAAGAGCCAGTGCTCGGTGCTGGAGCTGAAGACGGAGCTGGAGCAGATGATGGGGTTTCAGGAGCCGCAGGTGCTGCTGTGGGGGTAGACTCCTCGGGTGTTGGTCTGTTATAGCGACCACCGTAGTTGTAGTCGGCGGCCGGGGTGGCGGTGACTACGACTTCGACAGTAGTTGTGGTGGATGTAGTCGTAGCCACGGTTGTGGTTGAGGTGGTAGATGCTTCGGTAGTCCACGCGCCAGTTGGCTCAGGAGCGTACCCAGTCACAGTTATTTCGGCCGTAGGGTTGGGACGCTGCCAGAATCGGTTTCCACCCCAAAATTGACGTTTGGCAAGTTGGCCTTCGACATGAGCGGGCATGGCAACGACAGCGCCCGTGGCAAGAGCCAGAACGGAGAAGGTCTTGACGAGCTGCATGTTTGCTTTCTTTTGTGAATCTGGAGGGACTTCCTTTGTTTGAATGGGGGAAAATGAGTGTGGTGGTCGAGATCGGCCTATGTAAGGAAGGTACAAGGGGGGGGGAAGATGCTTGTAGGGTGCAAAAAGAGCGTGATGAATCCTCCGGGGATGAAAAGAGTGTGGTGTCGAAAGAGCGCAACGAAAGTCTCAGACTTTTGGGATACTCGGCGGAGGTTGGGAAAGAAAGGGTATAAAGAAACTCGGGGGGTAGGAAATATAGCAGATCCATTCTCGACCAGACTATCGTTCAGCCCCCATGACTTGCTGTAAGCCATGAATGTGAAACAAACAATGCCCGCCTATGGGTCCACCCTCATTGTCCTTCCCAGATTGTCGAGGCGTTGGATCGCCGACATCGTTGGCCGCGTCTGGCCCAACAATGGCCTGAAAGTGGAGCCGCCAGCATTCTTGTCCGGAGGGCCAAGTTCAACTTGGGGAACAAAGAGGCAAAAAAAGCAAAGGGAGGATTGGCGGCTGTTCTCATGCAGGGGGGAGGGAGCGATCCTGGCGCCTCAGCCTTGGGCTGGCTGGGCAGGGGGACGCACCTCTGTCTTTTGTGGAGGTAGACCTCGTCAGCTCACAGAGGCCCTGGCTGACAGCGATCAATGCGAATACCAGTCCAGAAGCTGTTGTGGCAAGCTTCATGGTCAGCTTCCAGCGGGTTGGCTTCTGTTGACCCTGACCTGGCGCCAGAAATTGAGGACGCATGACTGCGCTATCTGTTGCGAGGAGAGTTGGGACTTGGAAGCTGGTGACAGTCAGCATCCCTGACCTCTCAGCCAAATGTTCTCAAAAGGAGATGGGAAAGGTTGGAAAGGTGTGCGGTGGAGAGACGAGGCGTTAGGTTAGGCAAGGTTAGGGAACTTGGGATAGCCCCGTCAACAAGGCTAGTCCCAACAAGGCTGACACCTCTCCACCAGTTCCCCTGAGGCTTGCCCCTTTCTTGACTTTATCCAACCTCCACGCCGCGCTGAGGCCTCTTCCAAGTGGCCAGCCCTGAACAAGCTTGATTGCATTACGTAGGGGAATGGAGACAAGCTGCATCTGGGGAAATTACATCTGCCTCTTTACCGTAGACCGCCAACCGCCCCATTTACGGCGTACCTAGACTCATCCTTTACTGAAAGACTCTGATGAGATTTATATTCTCAACGCGTAAGCTCGGTGAGGGCGGAAAACAACAGTGACCTCGGATGCTCCAGCTGTTGCGATGACGTGGAGCCGCGGATTTCCCACGAGGTTTCGAGGCTGGGGTCATGGTTGTAGCGAGCCGAACGGCCAATTACCACAAGCGACCCTCAGCCTTGTCCCCTTCAGCCTCAAGCTCCACGAATGATTCCCTGTCTCAATTTATTGCGATTCGATCGGTAAAGGTGCCGGATTCCGTACCGGTCGGTCGAAGAAAGGACTTTCGCGTTCCGGGAACTCAACTCCGCGAAGGAACCTCGAATTGCGAATGCCACTGAAACGCAAGAAAGAGGACCTCTCCACTCCCCCACTGTCCACCTCTCCATCTCTCCATCTCTCCCCTTCGTGGTCTGCATACTTAGATGGCTACGAGCACGCCTCCACGGGTGTGGTGAACAGCTAGAGATGCATGCGCGGGTCAGATCTCCCAGCTAAGCAATGCCACCCAACGTGGCGTGGACCCCGAACGAGGGACCACCGAAAAGAGACGGAGCAATCAAAAATCCTGGCCACGTTTTGTTGAGGGGTCTAGCCACTGACAGTCGGCAACGAGGCAAGGAGGCATAAGACATTCCCAGATATGCGCGTCTTCACGAGGCTCAAGCCGTTACAAGACCACAGGCTGAGACATGAAGCCAAGGGCGAATGTGGAGCTTGGCATACGTAAACCGACGCAGCAACTCGGCGACAGGCGGCGACTTCTATCTCTGGCATTTGCAGCATACTGTATCACTCTTTTGCATTCTCTCTCCACCTCAGCGACATCGGGAATTCAAATGTCCCCTGTCTCGTCTTGAAACCATCACAAATTCTTAGGTGTCGAGAGGTATTCGAGAACCATGTCCGCCCGAACGACGTCACGCTCGCAAGACGAAAAGACCGTGCGAGAATGGGGGTTCTCTCACGTCTTCACGTGGACAGATGGACCGTGAGTGATGTCCTCCAACACACACGGGATATCTATGGTGTTACAAGGCCGCGGCCGCATTGAGTCCATTGCTATGTATCGGTATATGCCGAGATGCATGCTTCTAAGCATGCTTGACAACTGCATCTGTGGCTCCTGCATACTGAAGCAAGATAATTACGCAGCTACGCACATTACCCACCCCACTCTCATAGCGGCCTGACCACACACCTGATCCGCCGCGGCTCGTTGACAATCACGTATCCTGAGGACCCGAACCCGACCAAGGAGACCTTTGGTGTTGGCGCCCGCATTGATGTGCCTGCGGGAAAGGTGCATGAGGTATGGATGGGTGACGAAGGTGAGTACCTCACCTTGATAATCTGCCAAAGTCGTCTGGGTGGCGGAACCTGCCTGATGGATGGGTGGGTGCATGTGATTGTTGCTGCCAGTTGGCATTGTTCGGGATCCCCCTCTGTATCGAGTCATTTGTACTCTCGATTCATAGTGTGCCTCTGACTGACTGTGAATGTACTCTGTAGGATGTGAGTACGTAATTGGAGAGTGAAACGGTAACTCGACTAGGTTTGTTCGGTGTGGTGAAGTCACGATAACCTTTTTACATTGGATTGGCTTAGAGTTTGTGGTACCGAGTATAGGACCATGCTATCAACATAACACGAAGCTCATAACGAAACACCCGTCTCAGACCTCCCTGGAGCACGTGCACCCCTTTGCTTAATATGTTCGCTTGAAAGGCGGGACAGACTTGCACTCATTCTCATCAAGCGTGTGGCTAGTGACCGCCCTGTAACCCAACTCAACCTTGCCGTGTGGGGTCTTCTGCCATGAAAGTGTGTGCTTCATCCAGTTTTCGTCGTCACGTTCAGGGTAGTCTTCACGAGCGTGAGCACCGCGGGATTCCTTGCGGTTCGCCGCCGCGCTTGCGGTTTGGGTTCTACAGATGCTGCCGTCAGTATCTCGTCTTGCACGGTGACTTTGATCAGTACTTACGCGCACGACAACAAATTCCTCAACTCGAGCGTCTCCACCAGATCCGAGTTCCAAATCATGCTTCGATCTTTGATGCCCACCTGGTCGAACATCTGATCAACCTCGGTGATCTTCTTCACACCTTCATCCAACGACTGCTGTGTTCGGAAGACACTGACGTCGGTCTGCATGGTTCTTTGCATGGCAAGTCGAATTTCTGCAGTGCTCTTGGGACCATCCGATTTTCGGATATTGTCCAAGACGTTGATTGACTCCGCCCCTGCGTCTGCAGCCAGTTCCTTTTGCGTCTGACCCGGTGTGAAGTTGTCACGGATGGTGTGAGAGACGGCTCGCCCGAAGACGATCAGATCAAGCAAAGAATTAGCGCCCAAGCGGTTCGCCCCGTGGACTGAGACACATGCAGCCTCACCGCAGGCGAATAGTCCGGGAACGACTTCGTCCTTGCCTTGGGCGTCGAGACGGAGTACTTCACCAGTGTATTTGGTTGGGATACCGCCCATGTTGTAGTGCACAGTAGGCAGAACAGGGATTGGTTGTTTCGTGACGTCAACACCGGAAAAGATCGAGGCCGTCTCTGAGATTCCTGGAAGTCGTTCATGGAGAATCTCTGCAGGCAGGTGGCTAAGCTGAAGATAGAGGTGATCCTTCTCTGGTCCTACACCACGACCTTCGCGAATTTCCATAGTCATTGATCGAGATACCACGTCTCGAGAAGCGAGATCCTTTGCAGTGGGTGCGTATCGTTCCATGAATCGTTCACCTTCAGAGTTGAGGAGATAGCCACCTTCACCACGAGATCCCTCGGTGATCAAGCAGCCGGCTCCGTAAATACCAGTCGGGTGAAACTGGACGAATTCGAGGTCCTGGTTCGGCAGACCTGCGCGAGCTACCATCGCCATACCATCGCCAGTACAAGTGTGCGCTGAGGTGCAGCTGAAGTACGTGCGACCATAACCGCCTGTTGCGAGGACAGTGTTTTGCGCTTTGAATCGGTGGAGAGTGCCGTCTTCCTGGTTGTATGCAACGACACCTTTGCAGACACCATCCTCCATCAGCAGATCCAATGCGAAGAATTCAATGAAATAGTTGGTGTTGTAATTGAGGGATTGGCCGTAAAGCGTGTGCAAGAGAGCATGACCTGTTCGATCAGCAGCGGCACAACATCTATATGCCTGTCCGCCTTTCCCATATTTTTGCGATTGTCCGCCAAAAGCACGTTGGTATATCCGGCCATCTTCGGTTCGAGAAAATGGGCATCCGTACCCTTCGAGTTCGATGACGGATCGTGGCGCTTCGCGAGTCATGTAATGGATAGCGTCCTGATCGCCTAACCAGTCTGATCCTTTAACCTAGCTTGAATTTAGTATCGAGGGGCTGCGTGCGAGGGCCTCGGAAAGGCTTACCGTATCGTACATGTGCTATGGGTGAGAGGTCACCGAGTTAGCTTGTTCAACGATCATGTATCATGCGGGACGGTTTATCTTCCGCAGAAAATCCCAGAAGTTCCAAGTGAGACTGCCGACATTCACACTTGTACAGACTTACCCATCTCCAATCGTCCTCATGCATGCTATAGACGCGTTAGTAACGGCGTTCTACTGCGACAAACAAATCCCACTCACTTTCCTAGCGCAGCATTGATGCCGCCCTGCGCTGCCACTGTATGACTTCGTGTGGGAAACAGCTTCGAGATGCATGCTGTATTGAAACCAGCTTCGGCGAGACCTTCACCATTGTCAATAGACGAAGAGAGGAAAAATGTGTCCTTGAAGCAATACCAAATGCTGCTCGTAAACCTGCACCCCCTGCACCAACAACAACGGCGTCATATTGGTGACTGCAAATAGTTGTCAGTCTGTATCAGGCTCTTCCACAGAGGTCCACAAACTCTATGATCGGATAGGCGCCATAGGGAAACGATTCGGCTTCTCTCGCTCGCAGTGGTTGAGAAGCGATGACCCGGGCTAGTGGCATGTCTTAGTCTCCGCTAGATATCATTGTAATGCATTCCGAACATACCGGCAGGTCTCGTGGAGGAAAATTGACGTCTACTTGTTTGTCTCAAGCTTGTCAAGAACTACAGAGATCGGGTCAGGTGCGGATCAGACAGATGGAGCTCGTATGTACCTTGCTGCAGGGACCTAAGCTCCGCAAAATCTTGAGACAGCTCATCTTGGATAGGCACAGGTCATCCAAGGCCTGAGCTTCGACAGGAGATTTGGTGTGATGGAGATGAAGGCGAGATGGCGTGGTTCAGAAGAGGGATGAACCTGCACATTCGATTGAAGCAAAGACCGCAGTCTAGTCCCGAGGTGTACGAGGAGATATTATCCAATCGGATCAGAGGTAATTCACTGCATTACTTTGGCCGGTGCAGTGTAAGGCGCGGTGGGGTGACTAAGGTGACCTCAAGACCTCCAAACACCAGTCTACCTCGTATATCTTGTCGTCACCATTTATTATTGCTTCTTTCATCTCCTCAAACTCTTGGGCTCCAGCTGTGAATCTTAGTCGCCTGGTTCGGCCACTGGAGTTACCTTCCTACAGTGAGACTATCGCATTTCCTGAGCACCAGTCTCTTGATTGTGATAAATACATACGCGGATCTGTTTGCGATACAACGACGGATTGGTAGGCTTGTACCTCATAAGCATGTCTTGGGGCGAAAAGAGGTCGACTTAATTCTCTTCCGTCTCCGTTGTTCTAGCTCCAGGTTTATGATACAAGCCCTTGGGCTCACCGGCTGCCGGGCTGGTCTTACGCAACTCCAGGAAAATGCAACGCTCGAAAACGATCCAAGAACCCATTCCTCTTCTAATTGTACTGTGCATATGCCGCCGTGCTTCCGAACTTCAAATTCCCCTTGATCACCTTGTCAATTGCCTTAAGGAAGTCGGCCTCAGAGGTCAATTTCCTTCGATCACGTATGCTGCAACCATATGTTAGCCTGTTTTGAATACCAAACATTGTAAAGACAAGAATGACTCACGCGAACATGCCGGCTTCGGTAGCGACTGACCTTAGCTCGGCACCGGTCGAGTTAGGACACAATCTTGCTATAAGCTGCAAATCTCCATTAGCCTGTTCAAATGCCGGCATGGTCGAATGACAAAGATTGCTTACCTCCCAGCGTATATCCCTCTCAACCGACATCTAGATTTCTCAAGTCAGTATCGTTCTTCGACAGGCTGGAAAAAAAAATACTCACCGATTTTGCATGGATCCTAAGAATACCAGCACGGCCGTCCAGATCAGGCAATGAGAACTCGATTTTGCGGTCGATACGACCCTGTCGCAGTTATGTCAGCAAGCAAAAGCATGCATTGTGAGGAGATATTGCGGCCGGGACTTACCGGTCGCATCAGAGCCGGATCCAGCGTCGAAGGTCGGTTGGTGGCAAACATGACCTTGATGTTTCCTCTCGAGTCAAAACCATCAAGCTGGGTGATAAGCTCCAACATGGTTCGTTGGACTTCGTTGTCACCACCGGCACCATCGTCAAACCGAGCACCGCCAATGGCATCAATCTCGTCGAAGAAGATGATGCATGCCTTCTTCGTCCGTGCCATCTCGAAGAGTTCTCGAACCATTCTCGCACCTTCACCGACATACTTCTGAACCAGCTCGGACCCGATAACCCTGATAAATGTAGCATCTGTTCGGTTGGCGACTGCTCGCGCGCATAGAGTCTTTCCAGTACCAGGAGGCCCATATAACAGGGCACCTTTCGGAGGGTCGATTCCGAGTTTGACGAATCGTTCTGGTGATAACAATGGCATCTCAACGACCTCCCTTAACTTTTCGATTTGCTCTTTGCAGCCACCCACATCTCCATAAGTGACGTCGGGCTTGTCTTCCACTGTCATCATCGTTACGCTGGGGTCGATCTTGGGCGGTAAGGGAAGCATGATGGAGTATTTCTGACGATCAACACCGACGCGCATTCCCTCCTCGATATCTGTAGGGCTAACTCGTTCTCCAAGGTTGACCACGAATTTGGCAATCTGCTTGACGTTGATGATATATTTGCTCTTCTCGCTATCCTTTTCGTCTTGTATGATTTTCGTACATCGAGCGACTTGAAGTGGTTGTTCCTCTTGCATACGTTGGCGGTCCGCGGCAACATCCCAAAGATGAGGAGGCGCAAGGCCAGTGTCTGACTCCTGCGACGATATCAGCATGGGATCTTGAGGGAACGGCGACTCCATACCTTCACGCCGATCTTTTCATTGATGCTCTGTTGCTTCTCCTTGATCTGCTTCTCAATCTGCTTCAAAGCAGCAGCATACGGCGCCGCTCCATAGGTTCTCAGCACCTGAATGTCTCTGAACAAGGTCAATACGCATAAGCCCCCGCAGGCCATTCAAATCAAAACATACTCTTCTGTCAGAGGCGTAATCTTCTTCTCTGGCACATCTTCATCAGCGAAGTTCTTCTGGTATTTCTCCCAGTTCTGGCCGGTTGCGCTGGGCATCTTCGCGGGATATGGTATGAAGGCAGGGTACAACGGTAGTCGAGAAGGGAACAGAGAACTGAGCACCGATATACGGAGCAAGAAACTGTGAGGCTGAGAGTACGACGAGCGAGATGGTTAAGGAAATTAATCGGATGGCGAGAGTGTTGACAAGAGCATGCGAGAGAGCAAAGCGAATGATGCAGGGCTCGAGGGCTCCGTAGTCCGCGCACCCAGCGCGGTGCCTGAATCACCTTTGATCACCTTATGTAAGCCACTAGCCACAGATTGCCACAGACCGCAGACCGCAGGCCGCAACCCGCTCTTGATGGTTCTCCAACTTTCATGGAAATTTCATGTCGCCTGATACCTGCATTCAATGAAATAAATCTCTACAGTCAAGCTTCTGTTGCGACACCGTTTCATTGCCTCTACCCAGATCTCCATTTCCTGTCTGAGTAGCCCATCATGGCTGCAGCGTTGGGAATCCAAGGCAATGTGGGAAATGCGGCATTCAAGGTTCGTTCAGATCGCAGATGATGCAACAACGCTTTATCCCTGACATTTGTACCAGGACAAAGAGAAGCCAATGGCTGTTCGGACAGCGAACATCATGGCCGCCAGGGCCGTCGCGGATGCCATCAGAACGTCACTCGGTCCTCGAGGAATGGACAAGATGATACAGTCGGGCAAAGGAGAGAATCTCATTACGAACGACGGAAGTACTATGTTGAAGAGCATGAGTGTTATGCATCCTGCAGCGAAGATGTTGGTGGACTTGAGCAATGCGCAAGATGTCGAGGCGGGTGATGGGACGACGTCCGTGGTTGTCATTGCTGGCAGTCTCCTCGGAGCCGCAGACCGATTACTTGCGAAAGGCATACATCCCACCATCATTTCCGAATCCTTCCAGAGGGCTTCCAAAGCCGCCGTAAAAATTTTACAGGACATGTCCCAGCCAATCTCGCTATCCGATCGGACCACCCTGCTACAAGCTGCCTCGACTTCCCTCTCTTCGAAGATCGTGTCGCAGCATTCTGGACTGCTGGGTCCCATGGCAGTGGATGCCGTGTTGAAGACAATCGACCCAAAGACTGCTGAAAACGTTGATCTGCGGAACATTCGAATTATCAAAAAGGTAGGCGGGACCATTGAAGACTCGGAAATGATCGATGGACTCGTCCTCAACCAGCCCGTCATCAAGAGCAGCGGTGGTCCCACCAGGATAGAAAAGGCAAAGATCGCCTTGATCCAATTCCAGCTGAGCCCTCCGAAACCAGATATGGAAAATCAGATCGTGGTCAATGATTACAGACAGATGGACAAGATCTTGAAGGAGGAGAGGACATACCTGCTCAACATGGTCAAGAAAATCCAGAAGGCCAAATGCAACGTTCTGTTCATCCAGAAATCGATTCTGCGAGATGCGGTCAATGACCTATCTTTACATTTCTTGTCGCGTCTGAAGATCATGGCTATCAAGGACATCGAACGGGACGAGGTAGAGTTCTTGTGCAAGAGCACGGGCTGCAAACCCATCGCTAACATCGACACATTCACGGAGGACAAGCTGGGCATTGCGGACCTGGTAGAGGAAGTTCAGTCGTCGGGAGCTCGATATGTCAAGGTCACAGGCATTCGAACGGCATCGCCACACCATCAAACAGTATCAATCGTCGCTCGCGGTGCGAATACATTGGTGCTGGACGAGGCAGAGCGCTCAATCCATGACGCCTTGTGTGTTATTCGGTGTCTGGTGAAGAAGAAGGCCCTTATCGCCGGTGGCGGTGCGCCTGAAATCGAAATTGCTTATCAACTAGCAAGGCAGGCGCGGGAGTTGACGGGCACGGAATCCATATGTTGGAAAGCCTTTGCCGAAGCGATGGAGGTTATCCCGACCACTTTGGCGGAGAACGCAGGTCTTAACAGCATCAAGGTGGTGACAGACCTTCGCCACCGACATGACATGGGTGAAAAGAACGCTGGGGTCAGCATCAAAAGTGGTGGAGTGAAGACGAACATTGCAGATGAGAAGGTACTCCAGCCCCTGTTTGTAAGTACGAGTGCCATCGAGTTGGCAGCCGAGACGGTCAAGATGATACTTCGGATTGATGATATTGCACTGTCACGATGATGCAGAGCCGAGAAAAGAAGCTGAATAGAGAGGTATGCACCTACCGGACGACCCGAGGGTTAGGAAAAACTGTAACGGATCCAATGCATAGCGAGGCTCGCTGAATGAATGAATGTACCCTCTTCAAACGCTCATATTGCAGCCTGTTGCTCAATCTTTGGAAAGGCTTATTTGCTACTTATCACCTCTCATCAAGGGGAAAGATGCATCATTCTTTCTATCCTTCTTCTCTGCCAGCCAGAAGAATGCCGACTCCAGAAACATCAGGAATCGATTTGGGGCATTGTTTCGCATATGTAGAATGCTGACAGTGGGGGGGTCAGCTTGGAATACTGTATCTAACATTCGTATTTTCTTACGAGCTGGTTTCTTTAGCATGGGTTGATGGGTATCCGGCCCCTGTTAGGCGCCCAGCATTTGCTTGGAAAACAAAAGGATTTATATGTGTCCCGAGGATATTTCGTGAGTTCGTCTGATTTCGCTCCGTGGTTACCTGGCCTTTTCTTTGATTTTAGGATCTTACAGTGTCATGGCGGTCGAGTTATAGATGCTCGGAAGACCTTAAGAATTCATTAACACGTCGATATATTACCAATACGAGCATCCAAGGGCGGATATATCATACCGGGCTCTCATAACTCAATCACTGCGAAGTCGGCAGTTGATCGAGGGCGAAACGCATCTTGCGAAGCTGGAAGCTTGACACTCGCTCAGAAAATCCCGCCATGTCGTGGATTTCGATCCTTCTCACGCTTTACGGACTGTGGGTGGCTTCGACGCTCTGGAATCTCTTCAAGAACTACCTCTCAGCGCGCAAGACGGGCCTCCCCATCATCGTCTTCCCTCTAAACAACTACCATCCGATATGGATGATTTTCTCTGTCCCCCTTCGACCCCTTTTTGAAAGAGTTCTTCCGGGCTGGGTCTACGAACCCATCAACCTAGCGACCTACGGGTTCGAATTTCGCAGCAAGAACGCCCTCTTCAAGAAATGCGGCCCGGCATTTATTCTTGTGACGGCCGGCTCAAACGAACTGAGTCTTATGGATCCCGAATTGGCCTCGGAGGTTCTCAAACGGATCAAGGATTTCCCAAACACGGATATCGGCGGCGTGATCCTGAATATCTTCGGACCCAGCTTAATCACAAGCGACGGCGAGAACTGGGCGCGACAACGCCGACTCATCGCTCCCAACATCAATGAGAAGATCAGCGGGCTCGTGTTTGGGGAGTCGTGTCGACAGGCGCGCGAGATGCTCGCCTCGTACATGGACGATCTAAGAGGCGTGACGGACGACACGATGCGAGGCATGAAGCAGATCGCCATCAATGTCCTGGGTACGGCGGGATTCGGCATCTCACAGCCTTGGAAGGAGGAGAAGTCCAGCCGCCCTAAGGGATACCGTATGACCTATATGGAGGCCACCAAGACCGTGGTCGAAAGCATCATTGAAGCGGCCGTCATGCCGGCAAAGTTACTCACTCTGCCCATATTCGCCCCGTCGTGGCAGAATATTGGACACGCAAAGAACGAGTTCCCGCTGCATACAAGGGAAATGCTGGAGAATGAGCGGAAGTTGCAATATGACAGTCCCGAGCCCAGAAGTAACCTGATGAGCATGCTGGTACGTCTCTCGGACTCATCCAAGCCCAACGGTGATCTGCACTCCAAGGCAGGCGAACTATCCAAGAGCTCTCAAGTGCTCTCAGAGGAAGAGATCCTGGGAAACCTCTTCATCTTCACGAGCGCCGGATTCGACACGACGGCAAATACTATGGCATACGCGCTGGCTCTGTTGGCCACGTACCCGGAATGGCAGGATTGGTTGTATGAGGAAATTAACACCGTTGTGGGTGCCAGAGGAGCAGAGAATCTGGAGTACGCCGAGATATACCCTCGCCTGCCACGGTGTTTGGCTCTTATGGTAAGCCTTGCGAGACGCTGGAAACAATAGTCATCCTGTCCATCTGTCTCTATCTCTACAATGACATTCAGAACGTATGCGGAAAGAAACTCACTAACCATATCTTCGCGCGGAACCAAAATAGTTGGAGACGATGCGATTCTTCCCACCCTTGACACACATGTGAGTTCTTCCAGCACAAACCAAGGCAATGTTTTTTTGAGGATTTCGTTCCACGACCCTGGCCTGTCCGTGAGAGGAGCCGTCCCGTACTGACGATGGTGGCGACAACATAGCGCAAAGCAAACAAATTCGACGCACGACGTCTCCATAACCACCACCTCGGGCAAGTCCTACTACATCCCCACCAACACAATCATCTATATCAACACGGTGTCCCTCCACCTGGACCCTCGCACCTGGGGAGACGACGCCACGACATTCCGGCCCTCTCGCTGGCTCGTGTCCCCGGACACCGCACCATCCCGCACGAGCGCAGAATATACCATCGCGCAGAACATCAAGTCGCCGCCCAGGGGCACATTCCTGCCGTGGTCCGCGGGCCCGCGGGTCTGCCCAGGCCAGAAGATGTCGCAGGTCGAATTTGTGAGCGTGTTCATGACCATCTTCGGCAAATACCGCTGCGAGGCTGTCAAGATCCGGGACAAGGAGACGGCGGAGGAAGTCAAACAGAGACTCGAGGCCGTCATGAGGGACAGCCAGCCCAAGTTGACGCTGCAGATGATGAGGAACAAGGACATGAAACTGCGGTGGATCAGGCGGTGAGTTTGTATAAATACATGCATCCCTGTATGCGTACACACTCAGCTAGACATTAGCTTCAGATATAGCAATCCTCAACGCATCTACCAGGTCTCTGCCCTTACGCTACTATCTAATATTCCTTGTGCATAGCACTCTTCTATTCCTGGCAGCTGAGAGGCCCCCTGAAGGCAACCAACGAGCGTCCTTTGGGGTGTCCGACATTGGCCGACGAAAACATCAAGTTTTCTGTCTCTCGGGGTTCAGGTGACTGTCAAGGTGCTTTTACATCTTGCCAACACAGGCGGCCATCCTGCGACGCGAGGATGAGCTTATGGAAGAAAAGTGGACGAACCAGAGCAAAGCCGTGATGAAGCGGTACGGAGGTCCAACGATCTTCAGGCAAGACCGAGTTCAGTAATGGATCGACGCCAACTTGAGGTAAGCGACGGTAGAGGTTACATAAGAACGCCTTCCAGGTGTGAACCCACGTTCATCAACAAAAGAGCGGACTACGGCGTCCATGAAGAGCAGGTCAAGTGGAATTTCCGGCGAGAGTTCACCAAAATCACCGACAGCATCAACGAGTTCGAGGGTATCCGGGCCGAGTACACCAGGAATCTCAACGGTCCTAGGCTTGCTCAGATCATACTGGATACGTTTTGGGAGTGGTTTGATTGGCACTACATCGATGAGTCGTTTCTGAACGAGTCGCCCCGGGGACGCCATCAACGTACTCCTCCTCGAACGCGAAGACATGCTTGCGCTCTTCAACTTCATCCTAGATCTGCCTCCCCGCAAAACCGTAAGTGAGGTCGAAATCGAGCGCCCACTGATGATCGAGGCTGTCGAATTGGCTGTTGGGTTTATCCCCGTCGTTGATGATGGAATCGCCTCGTACGAGGCATACAGTGGCAGAGACCGTTTTAGCTATCGGCTCACCGGCCTGGAGAGCAAATACGGGCAGCATCGTGTCTCTTTGCCGGCTGCTGGGTGACTCGTGAAAGGCGAGAGAGCAATGACCATGAACGCACGGCTGGCGAAGCTCTACGGGCGACATGCCCCGATCTGGAAACGCACCATCCAGCAGTCAGCCAGAGCTCTTGAACAGAAGGCAGCACTGCGAACAGTCAGGAATGCGGATGATGTTCTACGAGCGACCGGAAAGCTCAAAGGGAAAGTCGCCAAAGAAGCAGCAGAGGCATTGCCCGAAATGCTGCGTTCAATCGGCCATGTGATCCTGGAAGCTGAGAGAGAGATCAAGATGGCATGGGAGACCTTTCGGATCGCTCGACGAATTGGCCACCTGCAGGATTGTGCAGAAGGGAACAAACGTCGACCATATCAAAGGTCTGCTGCTGGAGGAAATGCTAGAGCCGTACGTTTTACCCATGTTTCGTTATCGTTTTGCCTTCTTGGTGGCCCTGGGATTGAAATTCCCAAGGGGCCGACATTGGAGTTCATCCCTAGCCGCCTAATTAAGAAGGAAGTGAAGGCCAGGGGCCATCCCATCGAGGCGACCACTGTCCCAATCCATACCAAGGGCTTGGGAAGGATATCGCAAAAAGTTGGCAAAGTCGGCGGAGCGAGTAGTGCCATCAACATATTCAACGGTACTACATACACCCACTTTTGTAGGGCGTTGTCTGCGCTGCCTGCTGATTTTCCTGGGTGCAAACGGTATCTACACTGCATGCAGAGCGTCAATTAGAGAACCCTTCGCGTAATCACTACTCGAACATCTCGCACAGGCTTCTTCACTCCCGTCCCGGGCATCACGGCTGGCACCTTCCAACCACCACCATCACCAATACCAGGAGCCGCGATGTCCTGAAGACTAATGATAACGGCACTCAGAGTCACAATTTCCTTTTCAGCAAACGTCCGTCCTGTGCACATGGCAGCTCCAGCGTCCCAAGGTCTGAGCCTCCAATATCGGACAACAAGTTCGCCTGAATCTTGATCAACCTCAAGAAAACGGTCTGGGATGAATCTGTCCGGGTCCGCATACACTGGATGGATCTCGCTGGATAAGCGAGTGTGGTGCCGACACGAACATTCCCGGTTCCAGTTCGTGCTTTCAAGCACCGTCACTGATGGCGATGGGACGCGCAACACATCAAATGGATGTTGCTTCGTTGGCCATGCGGTAAGTTTCGAAAACGCACGCCTTTAAAAGCGAACAGTTGTGTGACAAGGCTGAAAGGTTCATCGACACGATTTCCGGAGTAGAATCTGTCTGGGAAATGTTAATATATGGTGCTATTTCTTCTCGGACTCTGTCTAGAAGACCAGAAACAGAATAGACGTATACTAAAAGCCAGAAAAGCACAGGTTGAGTGTTAGCATTTTGACCCCTCAAGATCGCCAAGTCTCCTCCCCCACGCCCTCGAAATGACCAGTTCTCTCGCTTGTAAAGCAACCTTACCGATTTCTGACATGTCAACATTGAAGTCGACTGCCTGTCCTTGTTGATACTGGTCAATACCCCGATACAGCGCCTCCATCTCGTGAAGGACTCTGAAGGTTAGCTTCAACCCCTCCTGGCTTTCCTGGTAAGTCGGGTACAACGACTCCAGTACCGGCATATAGTTCGCAGCGATTCATCCGGTCCAAGTTAGAAGAGAAGGTACCGAATGAAGCTGCCTTCTGAGGAATGCAGCGCTTCTCTAAGGCCGCTGTCGCGGCGGTTTCGTTTAGGAAACATTCGCTCGATAGGGCCGAAGAGGTCTTTCCAAGCGTCTTCGAGTTTCTTCTTCAGTTCGGGCGAGTCAACTCGCTCCAAAGACGCAGGTAAACAACTTGTTCTGGACGAGTTCGCCGTCGAGAATGTGGCGTGAATGCGACATGATACGATCCACGTCTGGGAGGCTGACAAGGATCTGATGCGTTGCTGTGAGGCTAAAGAGGAAGCTACCATGTCGTCGAATTGCTGAACTAGAGCCGTTATTGTTCTCAAGGCATACCCTGAGCAGATCCCGCTCTGACGTCGGGTAGTCACATACATATCGACCCAGGCCACCTCGGCTGATTATATAACCCGCAAGAGCGATCTCAACCGCCGCGTGGGACCTTATGTTTCCTACCCATATAGAGCAGCTTCTGTGGAGAATAGCAGCCTTGACGGTGGCCATTGGGCCCGCCATTGGCACGCTACTCGTTCTGCTGGAGAGCGTCTCTTCTCATAGTACGGACAAGATGTCAAGCTGGAGTGTGGGAGAGCTTGTACTGCTATACTTCGCTTCACGTTCATACATTATCGTGGAGAGTTTCAGGTCCCTCTATTTTCCTCCCTCCTCTGGCGTTTCTCTCGACATGAGGAACGGAGCGCCCGCACTGTGGATGAGAAGTGATGATTGACCTCAGACTCAGCGGCTATATCGTAGCTTTCACTGCTAAAAAGGACTCGTTCTCTACATTGATACGCTTTACGTCCCCCTGAGAGTCTTAAACGGCTTGGACGAAAACCGGCAATCATGCACATGAAACAAGTATATCCTTTGGCGAGTCACGTTCTTGTGATATCGAGAGAGGCCTCGTTTATCTATCTACGAATTTGACCTGACGCAACATTTCTTTCATTTTTCTTTGGTGCAGCCCGGAGTCCAATTCAGGGGCTCATCGAGGCTTTGACATGTTGCAATACCTGGATCGCTATTTGTCGGGTTGCCGTCTAGAGACGTCGCTATCGGGCCTAGCATGACGAGAATACGTACGCGATGGCTTCAGGTAGTCTTGCGAAAAGAAAGGTTCTGGTATTACGGAGTGCTTGTCATCAACGCGCTTTGGGTGAACAGTCCAGGTACTCCCCGATTAGGAAAGCACTGTACTAATTGTAATACTTGTGTTTGTTACTTGGTAAGTAGGGCGGATTCGCTTAGGTGCTGTAGGTAATATCCAATGCAGAGGATGGAAAGTAGAACGAGTTGTAGGCACGATTGAGCAGAGGCGTGGGAGCGGCTTGGTCGGGAATTTGACCAGTCATGGACCAGGTGGTGGGTCGCTCGACAGACGGAAAAACATATTTCCTGGCCCTTCCATATTCGGCGAGCCCGCCGGCACTGTTGCTCCTTAGTACTTTGTACCAAGTACATGATGATCGTGGTGGTGTGGTAGCATTCACAACTCCGTCGGGTCAACGAGCAGTTCGAGTTCAAGGCGGTTTTTGATTTGTGTATCAGATATCTGCATGGGGATTGTAGAGTCGACGTCTCTTCCTGCTTCCCCATTCCATCAATAGTGAGCAGTGCACGATAAAAGTGTTGTCTTTCCCTCACATGGGCCCTGAGTGTCATTTGTCTTGCTGTAATCCTCGTCCACACCGCCCATATCACTTCCCATTGCCCAGACTCAAAAGTCGCCGAACGCCAATGACACAAGTCCCTCTTGCCACATCAACAAAATAAGACCAGTTAAGACATACCCGATACAAGCGCAAATGCCGACGAAGAACCTTCATGACGTGAGGGACTGTAAAATGGCGATGACTGGTTCTGGCGACCGCCCTCCCTCCCTGTTTGACGCCCACCCATCCCTGCAAACCGTCTGTTTCCCCCAACCCATCGACATGATCTCAAATACAAGATACAAAAGAAGCAGCACATGTCAGGTCGTAACAGCAACATGATCGAAAAGTCAGAGACTATTCGTGGAGTCTCGGTACCAGCTGTGACCTTCAAGCCCCTGCCGATGCCGGCTTCGCGGCGGTGGCTTTCTTTGTTGTCGCTGCCTTCTTGGGCGTCACCTTCTTCGCACCTGTAGTGGTCTTTTGCTTGGTGACGCGCCCTGACTTGGTCTTCTTCAGAACAGTGGGGGCTTCAGTGACAGCAGGGGCCTGGATCACTGTCAGCAATACAGTCCATGGAATGAGGAAGCCGATTGAAAGGTCATACAGGTGCTTCAGTCTTGGTCTTAGTCTTGGGTGCTCTCTTAGTAGCGGTGTTGGCCTTGGGCTTAGCGGCGGCGGCGGCCTTCTTTGGGGTGGTCGCTTTCTTCGCTTTGGTAGTCGCTGACTTGGGCTTAGCCACAGTCTTAGTTTTGGGCGCCTTTGGTTTTGCTTCTTTGGTTTCTTTGGGCTCTTTGGTCTCTTTGGGGGCCTTCTCCTTCTTCGAGGGAGGTCAGTATGCTTGGGGGACCGGCATGGGTGTTAGTGATACGAACCTTCACAGTCTTCTTCTCAGCGGGCTTGGCTTCCTTCTTCGCCAGCTTGACAGGACCAGAGGGACCTAAGCGATGTAACTCAGCACCAAGACACTTGGACGATGCAGCGATGGGTCATACCCTTGGGCTGTTGGAAGTCACCCTTCTCAACACCAGTTTTCAGTGCCTTGTTGAAAATGGAGTCGAATTGAGTCTCGGAGGTGACCGTGACGTTGTTGTTTGCCTTGACATACTTCTTGATCGCTTGTCGACTGATGAGTCAATTAGCAGCTGTTTCTTGACACGGACCGCCGGCGACGACGAGGTGGAGGGAGAAGACTCACCTGCTTCCATTGCGCTCCTTGAGCTACATGTCGCGACGCGTCAGTATGACAGCCAGACAATGAAATGATTATAGACAACTGCCACAACCTCTTTCGCCCACTCCACGCTTGAGACAGGCGGCAAGATAGGTGGATTGGGGAGGGGGGGCATCGAGGTTGTCGCAAAGCGGCTAGACTTACGTTCAGAATGGCCTCCTTGATCATGTCTGATATACAGAGTCAGCATTGACACGCGACAACGATAGACTTGGTTCCGGCATGATACGACCATGTCTTCTCCGGCAAAACGTACCTTTGTATGAGGCATGGGCGGGGGCGGCAGCAGGCTTCTTTTCCTTCGCTTCCTTGGCCGGAGCAGCAGCGGCAGCAGCTTTTTTAGCAGGCATTGTGATGGTGGAAGACGGACTGAGGTGGGCAATTGATGGATAAAAGCGATAAAATGGTGACAATGGGCGGAGTGAGCGGTGGGCGAGGTGTGGTGAGTAGATTTGAGAGGAAGGATGGGAGATGGGATGGGCTGCTGCGAGCGCGCGAGGCGGGGGAGACGGCGCATGCTTTATACCTGCCATGTGACGTGTGCAGCCCGCAGGTTGATCCAGAGTTGATCCCGCGACCTGCGCCCTTCTTCAGCCAATCACACACGGCTGCCAGCGGAATTCCCATCACCACATTTTCCTGATGTGCCTGGCTCGCTGGCACCCCGAAATTATCATCATTCTGCGTCTGCGTCTGCGTCTGCGTCTGCGTCTGCATCTGCTTCTGCTTCTGCTTCTGCTTCTGCTTCTGCTTCTGCATCCCGCCCGCCCAGAGGAAACGGAAACAGAAACACGAAAAGCCTCCCGCCACCCCCGTCTGATCCATCACAAAGTCAGATCACGCGCGGCACTCCAAGAGCCTTCTCGCTCGCCCTACCCCCCTCGCCCCCCTTCCTCCCCCCCCCTCAAGTCCTCTCTTTCTCTCTCTCTTTCTCTTCCTCTTCCTTTTCTTCCACTTCCACTTCCTCTTCCTCTTTGTCCACTCTTGTCACTCTTGTCACTCTTGTCACTCTTTTCTCACCACATCTTCCATTCATTCCACAACCTCGTAACCTGCATCCGTGATTTTGCTGCCTATTTCATCCATGGTGATTGACCTTGCTGTCGCTCACGGCGCCTGATCATCTTCTATTGTTGATATAAACATGTGTCTAACATCCTCTCTGGCACTGTCGAGCTTTCTACCCGTGTCGTCAATTGACCCCGATGCTCGTGGGATAACTCTTCGGCAGCAATATCCGCGTCAACACAAATCTGTTAAGTGTTACTTAGCTGCTGCTGTGGGAATGCTCGCAGGGTCAGGCAAGAGGCCCTTCGGTCATGTGCTGGGGCGATTTGGTTTGTCTAGGGCAGCCATTTGGAGTCATCAAGTGTTTCACTGTTGATGGTGACATGACCAGCATGTCCTTGCACTGCTGCACTGGACTCTTCAACGCGAGGAGAGGATGGATCAAGCTCAGCCATTGGGATTGAGAGAATCCGATCGGCTGGATCATGTGAACAGTTCCCAGACAGGTTAGAGCAAATTCTATCTCAACCTTCTGGACCGTGTAGTCTTGAGGCCCAGCTCAGCAATTCTCAGTCCGCGACAAATCTCGTGGCGTGAGCACACTGGGTAGCCGCCGTCCCATCCACCCTGTTTACCCTCCAGAACGCCATGCCATGTAGTGTGTTGTCGTACACACTAGTTTGAATCCTGCCTCACCCATAATCTCATCCGTCATAAAATGCATGTCGACTTCCGAAATATACGTGCTCCCTGTGGCGCCTCTCTTCTCATGTCGACAGATGTGCCTTGGACTTGGATTCCTTCTTTGTTTTGGCCTCTTCCTTCTTTTTCTTCTTGGCTTCGGCAATTTTCTCGTCGTGCTTGCGCTTCAGGCTCTTCTTCTCTGCTTCCGTCTTCGGGAGGGTTTTGAAGAATCCCTCCAGTCGCGACTGTTGGGCGGTTTTGACATTTCTCTGCAACTTTTGAGCGGCACTGCGGACACGGTCCTCGTTGAAACCCTTTTCATGAACCAGGAATTGAACAAGGCCCTCGACATCAGGCGCTTCCCACTTGAAATCACATTCCGGATCATCTGCGGATCGAACATCAGGGTGGAGGAACAGCTCTCTCGCCTCCTGGTATGGCCAGTCTTCGGGAATTGTATATCTCTTCTTGGGATCATTCTCAATGAACTCAACCACCTTTTCCAACGAACCGTATTCTCGGATCAGCTTCAAAGCAGTGTTGGGGCCAACTTTGGGAATTGGATCCAGATAATCACAGCCCAACAGGATGCATAAGTCGATGAACTGGACCGGTTAGTTGACCACACCAAATAGTCGTTTTCATGGGAAGAGATCCATACCTGATTCCTGTCCATCCCAAGTCCCTCCAAGGTCTTATCGAGGTGTATCTCCTGAATGGGTTCCTTCCGCTGTTCGCTGAATGTAAGGTGCCGCAGCAGGATCGGTGAGTTGAACGTCAATGTGTCCATGTCTTCAGACGCGGCTGCATACACCTTTCCAGCACGCGCTAGAACAGCACACTGTGCCTCCGCCTCGGTAGGGGCAATAATGTAGGGAATGCCCATCAACTGAAGGAGCCGCCGACACTCTTCGTTATGTTCTCGCGTAACTCTGACTGTGCGCCTTGAGAATTTCTCAACCTCTTCAGCAGTACCAGTCTCTTTTGCCTCCTCATGCTGGTCACTGGCTTCGCTCTTGCGAGCAAAGCGCTTCGCCAATTCACCGGATTTGAGCTTGGGTGGTGCGCCGTCGAAGACATAGAGTGGTTTGATGCCGTTGTCGACCATACGCAGAGTCCGGTAGAACATGCCCATGAGATGAGAAGTGGTTTCGCCCGTGTCAGACATAAGCTGTTGACCATCTGAACGGACTGCTATCAGAAAGCTGTAGATGCTCATGGATCTGCAGAAGTCAGTCACTTGGTCTTTGGTTCGATACGTGATACAGAGCATACGCATCCTGGTGTATATTTTGTCAGTTCAAGGCATCAACAGTATACAACGGCCACTTACAATTGCAACTTTCCTACCAAAGTGGTTCTTGATCTCACCAGTCTTGATGGCATCAGGCGCCTCCTCGGCGATGACATGGTAGAGTTCTGTTCACAGTGAGCTGGTTAAGATCTGACAATCGTGTCAGCAATGCAACATACGCTTGATACCCATCTTCTCGAAACGTTGCACCTCTCACAGTTTGGTAGAGTGGACGTCAGAGGTAGATCGCATGACAAGAAGATGGAAGTCGAAGATGCGCGTAGAGTGATCTTTCAGAATCGCGTTTCGCGCCTGTAGGACGAAGTGGACAAGAGTGGATGACGTAACTGCGCCCATGCGGCAAGAGCTCCTCCGCAGACGCAGCCTACGGCGGAGTCAAGACTTTGTAGCGCAGCTTTGGCTTGCTGCGATTCAAGTACGATTCTCCAAAGGGCATCCTTGGGCACTCCTACGCTTCCACCGAGGAAGACCTGGTGGCTTCTTAATCCCTGAGCGCTCAGTCTCTGAACAGGAGTCTCCATGATCTCCTGCAGACTTCCGTCTGTAATTCAATTAGCATGTGAACCCGTCCGCCGCCTCGGAGATTCTTCAATCTTTTGACTCGCAGGACCACTTGAAAATCGCCTCGGCATTTTGCGAGTATATATAACCAGTAGCACCCATTGAATCACCTCGCTGATCTCCCCGTCCCCAAATTGGACCATTTCTTCTTCGAATTTGAGACTTTTATTGTCCTCATTTCTTTACACTACTTTCGCTGAAGTGTCTCTTTCCATGCTGTCTCGGTCCCTCCTTCGTCGAGCTGCGCGGGTGCGCCTGGCCTCCGCAGCACGCGCTTCCCATCGCAGACATGCCTCCTCCGCCGCAGCTTTTAGATGGGAAGACCCTCTCAACCTGTCAAACTTTCTGAGCGAAGAAGAACAAGCGATTCAGGAGACGGCACATTCTTATTGCCAGGAGCGCCTGCTGCCTAGGGTGTTGGAAGCATACCGCCAGGAAGACTACGACAAAACAATCCTGCAGGAAATGGGCGAGTTAGGTTTATTGGGTGCCACAATAAAAGGTTACGGATGTGCTGGCGTGAGTAACGTCGCCGCCGGTCTGATAACACGAGAAGTGGAAAGAGTTGACTCGGGGTACCGGTCAGGCATGTCTGTTCAAAGCTCCCTGGTGATGGGTCCCATAGATGAGTTTGGGACACAAGAACAAAAAGATAAATACCTGGAGAAGCTGGCCAGAGGTCAGCTAGTCGGCTGTTTTGGCTTGACAGAGCCCAATCACGGCTCGGACCCAGGTTCGATGGAGACAATTGCGAAGCCACATCCGTCCAAGGAGGGATATTTCTCTCTGTCGGGGTCAAAGACCTGGATCACGAATTCGCCAATCGCGGATGTGCTGCTTGTATGGGCAAAGTTGCAAGAAACAGGCAAGATCAGAGGTTTTGTGATTGAGAGAGAGAAATGTCCACCGGGCACTCTCGAGACGCCACCTTTGAAGAACAAGAACGGACTTCGAGCATCGATAACGGGCATGATACAGCTAGACGACTGTCCCGTACCGAAAGAGAACATGTTCCCAGATATTGAAGGTCTCAAAGGTCCGTTCGCTTGCCTCAATTCGGCGCGGTATGGTATCGCATGGGGAACAATGGGCGCGCTTGAAGACTGTATCAGTCGAGCGAGAGAATATGCCCTGGAGAGGAAGCAATTTAAGAACAATCCAATCGCCAAGTATCAGCTGGTTCAAAAGAAGCTGGCCGATGCTTTGACGGATGCAGCTTTTGGACTAGCTGCGGCATACCAAGTTGGCCGCCTGAAGGACGAGGGGAAGGTCACTCCAGAAATGATTTCAATGATCAAGAGACAGAACTGTGATCGAGCGTTGGTAAATGCCAGGCATCTTCAAGAGATATTTGGTGGAAACGCGGTCAGCGATGAGTACCACATTGGGCGCCATGTTGCAAATCTTTTCGTCACGCAGACATATGAAGGGCAAAGTGATATACACGCCTTGATCCTAGGCCGGGCCATCACTGGGTTGCAGTCATTTTGCTAGGCACGAGTCGACTGTTAGACGCTGAATTCAATTGCTTTCCACGTTCCTCGTCACTTCCCAGTCGTCGCCACCAATGTTTTCAATTATTCTCAATGTATCCTTCTGCTTGGATACTTGTAGGTGTCTCGGTATCGAGCATAGTACCGGGACTACGACGTAAGTCTCCTTGGTACTTGTGGTTGTGCTCCAGTAAGCGAGCGGTCTCCCTGACTCAGAAGGCGGAAGAGACGGATAAATGAACCCTTATTTTATGAGCCAATATATCGATAGGTATTTGGAGATGGTTTGAATGTCGCGGGCCATGCTTTGTCAGAAAGAGATACCTTATAATGACAGGAAATATGGCCTCGCTGGCGGTGGCGAAGTCAGGGAAAAGTTGAAGCCCAAGGGGATTTCATTGGGCGCCCGGCGGCAAGGAAAAGGCACCACCAAGGCACCACCCACGCACCGCCCACGCCGCCCACGCCGCCCGGCCGCCTTAGATGTTACCCTTGGAGCGTCACCTTAAAGTCACTTGTCGCCCCTCGCCTGCCCGCCAGCCCACTATTAGTATTACTGCCAGCCCTGAGTCCGCAGTCTCCCACCCAAGTCCAGCACCTTCTGCGGCTTGCCAAGCGTGACGCCTTCTTTCAGTTTAAACTGCGATCCGTTCGGCTGAAAGTCGATCTCTCTTTCCTTTTACCACTGACTACATAACCACCAAACCAACTTCACAGTGATCAGACATCTTGACACCACCACTTCGTTTCGTGCGACTACCTCATCGTCCCTCTAATACTTAATTCTTCTCGTCGCACAGTCCTCAGGTTCGTCCGCTATCCTTTAATCTGACGACCTATTTACCAACCGCTTTTCAGTAGGGTTGACTCAGACCATAGCCCCACGTCCACTTGATATCGACCACCTTTGGCCCTCAAACCCTTCCTACAACTCAGATAAACCACATCTTCAGCCATGGCTTTGAAGAGAATCAACAAGGAACTCACAGATCTTGGCCGGTGAGTCCTCCCTTCTCCCCAGATATATATGCGGCAAGACGGTGCACGAGCCGAACTCGGGCCTGATAAGATCATACGGAATAGTTTGGAAGTACATACTGATATTATTGAATGCAGAGATCCTCCCTCCTCATGCTCAGCCGGCCCTATGGGAGATGACCTGGTGAGTATGACGTCCTGAAAAAGCCGCCGCAGACCGACAAGTCGGATGGTCGGACATGGCTTGCTCGACCTGAACAATTGGCTAACATCAATATCAGTTCCACTGGCAAGCAACAATCATGGGTCCTGTAAGTTGCCACAGCCCCTTGACCGCGTTTTGTGTTCGAGACTGACCAATTTGGCAGAGTGACAGCCCATTCCAAGGCGGTGTCTTCTTCCTGGCCATCCATTTCCCTACAGACTACCCCTTCAAACCACCGAAGGTCAATTTCACCACTCGAATCTACCACCCCAACATCAACTCCAACGGCAGCATCTGCCTGGATATTCTTCGAGACCAGTGGAGCCCGGCTCTGACAATATCCAAAGGTATACACGATCGCCTCCCACACAACGGGAGATACATGGCTAACAAACCTAACAGTCCTCCTCTCCATCTGCTCTATGCTGACCGACCCCAACCCCGATGATCCACTTGTTCCAGAGATTGCTCATGTGTACAAGACGGACCGTGCTCGATACGAGGCAACCGCCAGAGAATGGACGAGAAAGTTCGCAATCTAGTTTCTATGGCAGAATGGACAGTGGCGGTTGCTGGGCGGTGCCCGGCAGCGCCAAGCGGCAAGGGCCATGGTGCTGGCACAGGCGAGAATTGGCAGCGTTTGGAGCAGCGAGCAACGGCAACAACGACGGCCAACTCACAAGGGATTCGGTAGATGGGACCCGCGAATCCACGGACGCAGTTGGCAGAGTATGAGACATGCATTACACCAAGGGATGCAATGACGAGCAACGGGAGAAACAGGCGCAGACGTTATGGAGGGATGTTTATTGTCCATGAGCACGATCTCGGATGAACTCTTATGATGCATTACCACAGGGCGTGCTTGAGGGATAACTGACAACTGTGCTTCTTGCGTACCCCACCACGTGTTTTTCTTTTCTTGGTTTTGGTTCGGGATCGACTCTTTTAGGACCATCTGTTCGTATTTTGAAGTTCCTTGACCAAGCCAGTACGGCTATGACCCTTGAGATCTGATGGCCCTGCCGCCTCGCCGCATTCTTCGACGAGGAGGAGGAGGAGGAGTCCGTAGGCTGCGAAGTGGCCGCTTGCATCGCCAAGGTGATCGAACAGAACAGATCCACTCAATTAGAAGGGCCGTTCGGCAAGTGACGACCGCACTCCGGCGATGGATCCAAGGCTCCAAGGCCCCAAGGCTCCAAAGACTGGTTGGTGCATCGAGCAGCCAGGCACGTGCCCAAAGCAAGGCCGTCCAAACATGGCCTTAGGTGGATTGCGTGGCCTGGTGGACAATGGCTGCAGGCGTACCCAGTACGAGGTACGTAGCATTGTGGTCCGTACTGGGTATGTGAGGGAAAGCCTTGCATCGACTGAAACAAGGAGGCTGAGCGGCAAACACGACGGACACTCGAGGGAGCTGCAAAGGTTGGTTGTCCAGCATCGTCTGGCCCGTCTGGCCCGTTTCGGAGGCTCGTCGATCCCTGGCGCGTTTCACCAACCCTCACTTGGCCCTCATCCACTCTCATCCACCACGTACCACCGCCAAATCATCGTCGCCCAAACTCATCTCTCGAGCTTTTTCATGTCCGACTCTACTCTTCGTCGACATTGTCTGGCCTTCGCTTCTCTCTAGGTCTCGACGCTTGATACGCTATCACCAGTAGCGATGTGGATATCCACGTCCTGCACCAAGCGTTCCCATTGACCTACGCTGCTCCATCTGTGGCTCCGTCCTGCGGATCTGCACCTGAACAAACTCCCCCTGAAAATTGCATGAAGGGCTTGCGTGTAAGGGTCGACAAACTCTGTCAAGCCGCTGATGTCTACTATTATGTAGCGAGAAGCGCCGAAGGGGGAGGGGGAAAATGCCCTTCCACTCAAGCCCTATTTCTCCATCGTCCCTGTCCCTCGATCGTCTGTTTATCCGTGCAGATCGTCTTCTTTTCTTCCCTGGCCCGGTGCACCGTCTTTGTTCGTTTGGATAGATTGCCGTTGGACACTCTCATTTCGCTTCCAACAGGCCGAGACAGGCTCGCCTGGTGCTAAAACCTCCCCATTATCCTGGTTGTACGAGGTGAGTATATTGAAGTCGCTAGTGAGGCGGTCATTTCCTTCATACTAATACTGTGTCAAGACGGCGTTGTGAAACGGTCTGGGAAAAAACCGTCTCGAGTCTCTACCCTCCTGCCACAACATCGGTCGCCGAATTGCAGCGTGCAGTGGACCATCATTGGAAACAGATTCGTATCAGGGTGTTCTGGACCGCAGCCCTCGGACCGTACATTATCGCCTGCCCGCCATGAACAACTCGACGCCGCCACCCTATCCTTCCTACTTCGACAAGCCGCTCGGACGGTCCAATACTACGACGCATAATAATGCTCCAATGTATTACATCGAGAAGCCGTTGGCCAGGTCAAACACATCGTCGACATTTTCCTCGATGACGGAACGAACAAGATCAACTCCTCTGTCGAGGATGTTGCTGTCCGGGGAAGTGAGCGGCGAGGCACCCCGAGACCTGAACATGAGAGAGAAGTTGGAGAGGTGGATGGTCAACGAGGGCTCGAGGCGGATAGTGGTGGCAGTGTTCGTGCTGGTACACGGACTGGTCTTCGCCTTCGGGTTCATGAACTACCAACTGAAGGACAACCTGACGGGAGCGCGGGCGACATTTGGCATCACATATCCCATTGCGCGGTCAGCCGCACTGGTCCTACACTTCGACGTTGCTTTGATCCTCTTCCCTGTCTGTCGGACGTTGATATCGTTACTCCGCCAAACGCCTCTCAACAGCATCGTCCCATTCGATAAGAACCTCACCTTCCACAAACTTGTCGCCTACTCTATCGTCTTCTTTACCTGGGTCCACACCATTGCGCATTGGAACAACTTCGCCCAGCTGGCCGCCAAACAGAAGCTGGGCTTTGTCGGCTTCTTGGAGGCCAACTTTCTGACTGGCCCGGGCTGGTCTGGCTATGTCATGCTCTTTGCCTTGATGGCAATGGTTTTCACTTCAATTGAGAAGCCCCGACGAGCCAATTTTGAGCGGTTCTGGTCTGTCCACCACCTGTTTATTGTGTTTTTCGTCTTCTGGTCCGTCCATGGCGCCTTCTGCATGATCAAGGCCGACACTGCTCCTTTCTGCTTCGGTACAGGTGTATTCTGGGAATACTGGATGTACGGAGGCTTCGCATACCTCATGGAGAGAGTTCTCCGAGAAATCCGCGGGCGACACAAGACCTACGTGACCAAGGTCATCCAACACCCCAGCAACGTCGTGGAGATTCAGATGCACAAGGAGAAGACGAAGACACGTGCAGGCCAGTATATCTTCCTCTGCTGTCCCGAGGTCTCTATCTGGCAGTACCATCCTTTCACCCTGACATCGGCGCCGGAAGAAGATTATATCTCTGTCCATGTGCGAATGGTGGGCAACTTCACCAAAGCTCTCGGAAAAGCACTCGGCTGCCAGGAGGGCAAGGGTCGAGGTGACAATAAAGGTGACGGCGCGAAAAAGCTACGCTCCGAAGTTGTCTCCATGGCTCCGGGAGGTCTGACAAAGCTCCTCCCGCGCATCTACGTTGATGGCCCCTTCGGATCCGCCTCCGAGGATGTGTTCAAATTCGAAACGGCAGTACTAGTCGGTGCGGGTATTGGAGTCACACCGTTCGCCAGTATCCTCAAGTCTATCTGGTACCGTATGAGCCAAGGTGGCGGCGGTCAATCGCGGCTAAGAAAGGTCTACTTCTTCTGGATTTGCCGGGACTTCGGTTCTCTGGAATGGTTCAAGAGTCTGCTCACCGCTATTGAAGCCCAAGATAAGCAACACGCCATCGAGATCCACGCTGTATGTTTTCTCCCTTCCCTTAGACGTCCCCTCCCAAACCACGTTTTGCTAACTAGTTCACCTACAGTACCTTACTGCCAAGATCTCCGCTGCGGACGCCAACAACATCATGCTTAACAGCAGCGACACCGATGCCATCACAGGATTGCGCACTCCGACGAACTTCGGCCGCCCCAACTGGGACATGGTCTTCCGGGCGATTCGCAAACTCCACTCTCCCGGCGAGGCGGGTGTGTTCTTCTGCGGGCCCAAAGGCTTGGGGTCGCAGTTACACATACTGTGTAACATGTATAGCGAGGGTGACAAGGGCTTCAGCTTTGTATGGGGCAAGGAGAACTTCTAATTTGCCAGTTCTTTTCGTTCACTTGCCTTGCTACTTGTTGCCACTGAGGAGCGTTATACACTGTTGGATACTGGAGGGATCTTTGGCTACAGGCAAGACTTTCGACTTATTTTAGGAAAATTGGGGAATTGAGGCAGCAGCCAAACGCTGTGGACGTCGTCCACAGTCCGACCTCAACAACGGACATTCCTGTCCTCTACCACTTAAATTCGGCACTTCCAAGGGGAAAGCCTTCATGTTGTTTCTACCATTGTTTCATATAGAAGATACCACGATACATCACCAGTACTCGGTCAACGAGACTTTATGTGGCGAGATAGAGAAATGAGAAATTTTTTTGGAAAACGGCGAAATTACGACGGATCTGTTCCTTGCCATTGTCGTTGACCCCATTGTTGTCCTCTCTTTGCGTGCTGGGGCATATCACAACACCCTTTGGTTCAGTGACACATATATCTCCGCATTGAACCGAACCGAATCGAATCGCGTCTTCATGAAGTCAACATTTATATATATATTTATATGTCTTCCAAGGTCGCTTTCCCGTCCGCCCCCTGCACTGGCTTGCATGAAGCAGCATCAACTCGAACGGACTCCACCACGACACCTGTGGGATAATACTTGAGCTCACAGGATGTCCGGCATCGAGAGACCTTTGACCTTGCTCAAGCTTCCAGTGGGGATATGGCTGCTGATCTAGAAATATGTCGCGTCTGTTCACGCTTGTGATGGTGTTGAGCCTTCCACGAAGGACATGAAATTGACGATCTGCAAGTCGCTCTGTTACGACGAAATAAAGCCCGCGTTCGGCCTGGCGCCAATCCCCCGACCCGCCTCATCAATGACAACGGCACCCAATCATCCCGCCCCAAGCCCGGGAGAGGATCGAACAATCCATCCTCCCCTAATTCTTCGCTCGCCTGTCTCAACCGGACCATGTGGCAGCAGGCAGACTTCACAGTCACCTACCCAAACTTAACAAGAGGCACCCTGCAGGCACCTAGCTATGGGGACAAGCACCTGTGGCTTCTTGATCTGATCGAGATGCATATCCTCCCTCCACTGTCTTCACAATCGTGATGGACCCACGCCGGACGACGAGAACGACCTTTTCACTCTAGTCGCCCCCCCTTCCGTGAGAAGACATCGAGATCAGCCTGGCGTGCTCGGCAAGATATCTCCGACACTCGTCGCATCATCCTCCAGAGCCGCGGAATTGAGATCACGATGGCCTTCGACTGTGACATCAGCGTGACTCAGGTGTATGCGGGACATCTGATGGTCAAGGCCTTTGCCTGTGTAAGACTTCTCGCTTTTTTGTTCAATTTCAGGAGTGAACTTTTGCTAACTGCAAGCCCGGAACATCGTATTGAATGCAAAAGGTCTGCGGATGGAAGGGGTCCCCGACTTTTCAAGTGAATCGAGGCATGGATTCTGGGTTGCTGAGAGTGCGGCCGTGACAGAACGCCAGCTTAGAGGGCACAGAAGCACTTCAGCCCGTGTGGGCGTGTTGGCATCCTTTTAGTCAGAATCTGTCCTGGCACCTATTTGTCTGCATGTCTGTGGCGGCGTGAGAGTTCTGTGAGCCGGTCGAAACAAGGGGTCTTCTGGAAGCACCCAGGCTGGATACAAAGTCAGTGGTCCAGTACTATCCGGGGGGGGGGGGGGGGGGTCGGTGATTGCCGGTACATGACAAGGAACAGAAGGGGCAATGAGCGACTTGGTGGAATTTTCCAAACACATTCAGAAGAAAAGTAATGCAACCCACAGAAAATGCACAGCTCTTCCTCCATCTTGGCCATGGACCAAAGAAAAACAAAAATGAAAAGCCCGAACCAAGCCGCCCCCGATATATCCTTCATAACGCCCATTGCCTGCATCCATCCACTTTTTCTATACCCACCTCTTAACCCTATGATGAAGCCCCTGCATCTTATTCCGGCAAATCATGGCAGGCGGCTGCCTCTAGTCCCTTTCAAGCTGTAGACCGAGACAACCCTCCTTACAACCCTGCCACTGCCACCCTTCACCAACGCGTTGAGCTCACTGCCATGGACCACAGCAAACAGCACCATAGTGGCAAACATCAGCACCGCGTCAAAGAGATACAGAAACACCTCGTGCGAGATCAGGTAGCCAGAGTTTCCCTGCCCATACTCGACCAGTCGGAAGACGGACCGCACGAGGATGAGTAGACTGGCGCCGTAGAGGGTGTAGATGTGTTTCTTCCAGACCACCGCGATGTTGATGTCGGCGAGGACCCTGGACGAGGGCCCCTGGTGCATGCGCAGGTGGAAGGTCAAGCCGACGGTGACGAAGAAGGAGAAGAAGATGACTTGGATGACGAGCCCGCCGATGATGATGTTCTTGCCCGTGTTCATGGACGATTCGGTCCCGCTAGCCATGATTCCGCCACCTAGAGAGAGTTTCCGGTTGATATCAACGCCACAGAGCAGAAATAGTCCATGGAGGCGGGAAAAAAAGACTTACCAGACGCTTGCATCAAGAACGAAAAGACGTCGCCCGCGACAAATATCTTGGTCAACCACCTCGGATTCAAGATCGAATGAGCCGCCCCATCCGTCAACAAGATAATCCTCCCGAGCTCCATGTAGATAGTAGCCGCGAACAGCGCCGGGGCGACGAGGATGAGGACCGACTGCAGCACAAATCCCCCCACGCTCCAGTTCGGGCTCTCTTGAGATCCAATCGCCCGGCCAACGTACCCGATGGCTTCAAAGTACCCGCCAACACAGAAGGGCACGAAGAACCATGTTCGTGTGCGGAGGAGCTGGTATGTGTGCAGGAAAGACGCGAGGGCGAACAAGGTGACGAAAATCACGGCCGCGGCTGCCGAGGGATCGTAGCGGTAGAGTTTGAAGTCCGAATTGTCGTTCGCCATTTGTTTGTCAATTGGGGAACAAGAAGCCGACTTGGAAGTGTAAACGGGGAGGACACACTGCGTAGAGAGAGCACAAGAGAAGAGAGGAGAAAGGAAAATCCTCTTTGAAGGAGCCGTGAATGAAGACAGAGACTTAGGGAAACAGAGCAGTTTCGAGGTTCAAACCTGATACATAAATACCCAATCCATCTTCGATGTTTGTTTGTTTTTTGCCTGCTGCCTAGACATCGGGCGGCTGATAACACGCATCTTTGTACGGTTGTAACAGTGGGGACCATCAGAATGCCGCGGATTGAATGTGTCGGGAAAGTCGATGTATCGAGTCTAGCAAGGAAGGTCGATGGTGTCGAGGCTGTGACTGTGGGCAACAAAGGGGAAATTTGTAGAAATACGCGCATGCAAGATCCGAGGCTCCACAGTTATACGCGTATTCGGCCTACCTTCCCTCTCATATCGTATTGCGACGAGGCTGTGCTGCCCTGGTGGCCTAGCAGTATCCATCGAGAACCGCCTCCGTCTCTCTCTCAACACATTTCAGGTTTGTCCCTGCACAAGTTTGTGCTTGCCCGCTTCTTCTATTATTGTACAGGTTATGCGTATCCAGTACACTTGCTCAACTTTGAGAAGGCGACGTTCATCATGGTGCCAGCGTTATGATCTCGAGAATGCTCTCCCATATCTCCCTTGAAAGATTTTTTGTCTCTCGCACGGGGCTGCCGGTCGCTGGCTCCAGCGGAGATGCTTTAACCATCTGTTACTATTGTAAAAGCCAGATTTTGTTAAATTGCACTTTGATTTGACCACTCTGCGATAGAGCTCTGCACACAAACTCAACAAGAAGGTATCGCCGACTACAGCTTGAGGGGAGAGATAATAAAAAACCGAATACCCAGAACAGATAATGTCGAAAGAATCATTCTTGCAATCGTCTGAGTTGTCTACCATATCGTCACTATTATACCACTCTGAGAGCCCGACCGAGGACTATCCTTTACGGAATTTCGACGAGGTCGATTCTGCCAGGGACAATTCCAGCCATGGGAGCTTCCTGGATCCAGGCGAGCCCGAATATGACCGGGAGGAAGCAGGCATCCTTGTTGCACCTCCCGGGCTGTCGGACCCGCCAAAGAGTGGTAATCGGGTCTCATGGAAACGCCACAGCCGGTCCAAGTCCACTTTACACGCTGTTTTGAAATGGATCAAAGGACCCAAGACTCCTAGAGTCCATCGCATCCAGTCTTCCGAATGGCTCCAGAACGCTTGCGACCAGCTGCTTGACAGGGGGTCTCGCCCGCTAAAAGACTTAGATTGTTCGCTTTACTTACTCTCTATATTATTTGGAGTGGAATGTTCCTTTGGCCCTTCCCAAAGTCGGTAGTATCTAGCACTGATGCTGTCGACGGCCAGCCAATCAGACTAGACTGTACATCTCGGTTATGGTTTGTGTCCCTGGGTGTCGTAAACGGACTGCAGATCACTAACCAGGATTATATGTAGGCCCAATAGCACCGCCTGTGGGTTGGACGGTCAGGAATGTCGTCCTTTCGAGAACAACCATTTTGCGTTCGTTTGCGCGGCTGCTTGTAAAGACGTCAAATTACTCGAGCCTCATTATATTGGATCTCAGCAAGTCAATTACCGCAGTCTTGTTGTCGGAGGACAACCACGAGATCTTGGAGACCATACTTCCAAGACTACGCTGATGTAGTCTCGATGGCAGTCAGACGGTTCCTCCCGGCCGCATTCGTGGGCCACGTCATTTGTCAATGCTGTGTCCGCCGAACCCTATCCGGTCTCAAGGCTCTGGTTGAGAGGACTCTTCTCTGGCTTGGGGGCTGCTGGGTCAGAGCGCTGAACAATGTCACTTTCGACCGTATACCGATATCGCGACTGACTCGGCACGACCTGGAGCAACAGCCAGGCGCCATCCTCGCCCTGTCGTTGATCACGGCTATTCTCCTCATCATTGCGGCCGGGCAAGCGTGGTGCTTCAGGACCGAGGGCAGGATGCCTCGGTACTTGCTCTTCTACGCCGTCGCGGGCGCGTCGTTGGGGCGGACACCATCACGTTCTCTTTCGGAGGAGACCCAGCTATCTCGTCGCCGTCATTATCGTCGTTACCACCGTTCGGCGGCATCAGCGTGCTCGTCAACGACGTGCTGCGCTTCTAGGCCTTGGCGCCCGACGACGAGATGACGTTCCACTGGACGAGGAGTGTCGCCGGCGAGCCCGAGTTTTTCCGGTTCGCGTACGTGAAGAGACGTCAGTTGGGGCCCGGCCATTGGTATGGCGATTTCACGGTGCCAGCGCGATGGGAGAGCTGCAACGGCTCGTGGGTTCCGGGTGTGAGTTAGACAGTGTTGATGGATGGATAGATAGAGCGTCAACGACCCAGCACCGAGTCTCGTTATTGGTGTTTTGGTGTTGGGGGTGTTTGGACAGAATGGCTTGATACATTCTTGTACCTGGCCTTGTACTTGTACTGAGTAGTACGAACCCGTACTCGTATGGTATCCCACCGGTGCCATTGTATGTTTACATATTCTAGATCAAGATGACAGGATCTAGATCCGGATCCGGACTCGGAGCAGCAGCATGGAGTGGGTATACAAGGAGTCATGGCAATACTCGTACTCTATGCTCCTTATCCGTCGTGTACCCTACACGGATATATTACTCTACCCATCCATTTTCCGAGACGAACTCGACTTTTGCCTTCGCTCGAGTGGAGATCGACTTGTCTGTGTCTTCGGCGCACGACTACTCCTACTTCATACTCTATAAACCCACCTATTCATACGTCCTCGTACGATCTCGAATCGTTGTTACTGGGGAGACCGCTCGTTTGGGTGGGGGTTGGGGGATGGGCACTAGCCTGAGGCAGGCAGGCTCTCCATGTCGCAGTTCTCAAACTTGTACGAACCCTGCACGCTACGTTAGACTGGGAGGTCTGGTAAGGCTCGCCCGAGGGGATTTTGGAGACGATGGCGCTTTCTAGGATCCAGACTGGGAGAATGCACAGACATGACCACAGCACATGGTCGGGGGATAATAAATCAGATAATATCGAAATGAATATCATAATTTCAATGACCCTGTGCCTCCTTTCAAAATCATATCCAATTCTTGTCCTGATCATCATTTCTAATAATGCTTTACCTTTGAGTCCTGCCAGTGAATGGTATCGAATCATGTCACATTTCCACAAAAACACAATATTTTTGTTATCTTTAGCGGCGTCTCTTTCTTCCCCAAATGCTGACCGTAGACGAAGTGTCGTACAGGCCATAAGACATCGTGCCAGCCCTATATGGTCATATCACGTGGACCGCCTCGAACAACGAATTTCAGAAAACCAGCAAGTGGGACAAGTTCGAGGACGATGAAGCCACGGGAGCTCTGTCCAACCATTTGGGCTCTTTAGGCAACATGGCCCAACTCGGGGAGCACTTGCTTCTCCATCGTAGAATGCTGGATCAACGACGGTGAGAAATTCCGCGAGTGCGTGCCATCGTCAGGCTCATAGATGCTGATGCTGTCACGGCTCGCTTCGTCGCTCGACTCAGGGTCGCTATCATCCCGAAAGGGTCTTTGAGTCGTCTTTGAGCCGAGGCGGTCTTCCACATCATAGTCTTCCACCACGAGGATTGGGTTCTTTTCGGCTAGGTCGGCAGCAGTGCTTTCGATGGCCTTTGGGGCTTCAGGCACGCTGTACAAATAGGTGGCCAAGAACACCAATATCGAACCAAACAGGAAATATATCGTCGGCACAAAGTTGAAGATGAAGATGGAGGCCACAGTCGAGAGGATGATCGAGAGGGAGGTCGCAAATCCCTTGAGGATGTTGTCGGCGTACTTGATGACCATTGCCACAATGAGGCCTCCTGCTGCCTGGATGCAGACGGTTGCGAAGACGACGGAATTATAGCCCTGGAAAAAGCCATTCTCCCGGATGGCTTGGCCGTCCCAGACGAAAGCCCCGGTGAGCGCAATAGCCAGACAGCCAATGCTCAGTTGGATGTTGCGCACCCAGATGGACGAGCTTTGCCCGTTCTTCAGGACCTTCTCGAAATAGACACCTGCGAATCCGGAACAAATGCAGGCAATCGCAACAGCCACAATCCCAACCGGGTAATTGCCTTGCTGAGGGTTGGCCGTGGCGGTGGACGAAGGTATCTGAACACAGGCCACGCCGGCTGTGAGGATCACCAGAGACAGCCACTTTTGGGCCGACAGGCTCTGGCCCAGCATCAACACGGCAAACAGAGCCGTTGTCAGGATCTTGCATTGATAGGTGACTTGGAAAGTGGCGGCATCCAAATTGGTGGCCGCAACAAATTGGAGATTGTTCTGGAGAGTGTATAAGACGGCAGGCACGAGGAGCTTCAAGAAGCCACTTTTGACGCTGAAGATGTCGGTCCATAGCTGCTTCAGGCCATAGCTGGTTTGACTTAGATGCGGGACGTCGTTGGAGAGGGTCGGAAGGTGGGAGGATCGGTAATGGTGCCGCTGGTCGCTGGCGTGGACACAGAAGCATATTATGCATTTAAGAACTTCGGAAAGCACGACCGCAGTTGAGCTCAGGTATCTCGGACCAGGCAGGATTCGGGAGTATCGCATGACAAGGACAAGGGAGGAGTTTTGGACGACGAGGGTGAGGAGGGAGACGTATTTGGTAGGGATGCCATGGATGGTCGAGACCCCGTCTGCGGTGAGGCTGTCAGTACTTGTTCTGCGGGTAACGGGGCGCATTGACGTACCGCCGGTGGTCATTTTTTTTTTTTTTTTTTTTTTTTTTCCTTTGCCGAGAGATATATGGCGTTTCCCAAGATGAGGACCCAAAATACGAAATAGAAGAACTGTTAAGGCGAGGGCTGGAAACGAACGAGTGACGTTGTTGTGTGAATTGAACGAGTGACTACCGTAAGGGTGGTGGTTCTTTAAAGAGTGACAATGAACATGTGTGAAGGAGGCTCAACAGCACGACATGTAAGGGATGATGCATTTCATTATGGTGATCATAGTGTCAGAGTGGATGAGTAGGGCGACCCTCGGGAGCACAGACAGGTCTGTGCCTTGAGAGAAGTGTTGGGAGGTTATTAGGTAGGGTTAACAAGACATTTTTGAGAGAATGAAGTGGTGTGGTTGTGGCTGTGGTTGTGGTGTGGTGATTATTATTATTATGGACGTGTACAAGTACAAGTACCTCGTGATGTGGTGAGAGTGAGCGTCAGCAGAAGGAGGGACCACGAGCCAAGGGATCCAAAGGGATGGTGGAGACGAGTGACGAGCCCATGGTTTGGTTGGCGGGACACCAGAGGCGTCCAAGGCGTCATTGAGGAACTGAGAAATTGGAAGGGGTGGCCAGGGTCGAGGAGGGCCGAAGGAAGCCGATTGCTGCTCGCTACGCCTGGCAGGCCTTTGCTGGCTTCGATGCGAGATGCGAGGGTGGCACGCGGGCACGGACGGGCCCAGTTCGTGTTTGATTTCAGCTGTTGAGCGTGACATTCTTTCCCAAGTACTGGGTCCTAGCAGTAGAGTACTTGTACCAAGTAAGGACCCGGTAGGCACCGACAAGAGGGAACCTTGAAGCCTTAACGCGCCGTGTCATGAGCCACCCAGGCTGCCCAGGCACCTTTGGGCGCCTACCCAGTACAAGTACAAGCCCGGGTTGGTGTCTCTCGCATCGGGGCGCCTATCTACTATACCAGTACCTACTGTAGAAGTACCTCGTACAGGACGTGGTAGTTGGAGCCACTGGAGCCACTGCGCCCACCGCGCCCACCGCGCCCACCGCGCCCACCGCGCCCACCGCGACCCACCTGGGAGCAATCTGGATCAAGCTAGCCCCATTCCGTGCAAGGGCGTCTTTAATTGGAAGCCGCCACTGCGAGGTCCTCTGTTGCCCACTGCGCCCTCTCCCTCATATCAGGCATTCCACCTCGCCCCAGCTCCCTTTTCCCTCCCCCATGATGCAAGGGTTATGTAACTTATTACTCGGTACACCGACGCTCTATCGGTTTTGCTGCGATTGGCGTATCTCTACCCAGTAGCTATGTACTGTATGTATCGATAGTTACCAAGAAATTCCCCGAAGCTTGCGTGTCCAGCGGATTTCTGCGAAGCTCTAACCCCTGGCGCTCGTGTCAGATTCATCTCCCACGTGTTTGTGTTGCTGTTTCGGGTCTTCGTACTACGACAAGGTATTCAACTCGCGTAGCTGAAATGAAATGAGGCCAGGTGGTACGGTTGGTCGACCGGCTTGCCCGTGAAAAATGCCAGCAGCCATTCCTTCAGCGACAACTGCACGTTGTACGAACAATGCTTCATCACCCATGCAAAACTCGCTGCCCGCCATATCCGCCGGCTATGCGCTTCGCTGTGGTCGTTGACTTGAATCTGCCACATGGCGTTGTTGCAGCTCTGCCCCACAAGCCTCAGATCTTCGATGGATCGGTGCAGGTTGTCCATGTACGTCTGTAATGACCGGAAATCGCTGGCCAAGTCCACGGTGATCATGCCGAGCGTCAGAAGGCAAGTGAGCTGGAAAATGAGCTCGAGCCGTCGTGGTTGAGTGAGCTCGGCACCGGGCGGAGGCTGCCTGGACACCAGTCCAAGCAAGGTCGATCCCGCCTGGAGGTCGAAGGAGTGTATGCGTCGTGCTCCAGCCTCTGTTGCACCGTCTCGCGAGCTAGGCGCCGTCAGAGCGCTTATGGTCGACAGCGACTGCCACAACTCCCACAGCTTCCGCAGGAAGCCATTCATGCTGCGCACCAGCCTCTTGAGATCTGAATTATCCCAGATGTAGCTTTCCGGGCTCGTCCCGTAGATGCACTCAAAGAAACACATGACGCGTGACAACAGCACAGAATGGACGGCGAGAGGACCACCCGTCGTCTTCAAAATCTTTCTCACCGCTTGATAATGCATCCCCGCCGCTTCCTGCGACCCAGATCGTCGATCAAAGGTCCCCAAGCTGATGATGGACGCCAGGAGGTCGTCCTTGCGCTGGGGGCTCGAGCTCGCACTCAACAAACGGACCATTTTCAGGGCCTCCCCCTTGTGCCGCATCACGGCCAGCTCGAGCGACCTTTTCTCCGTGTCGGTGGCATATTTGTTTAGCGATATCCGATAGAGAGCCGATCGCGCCATGATGACCTGAAAGCATGCTGGGGTGGTCAGAGCGATGGAGAAGTTGCTGGCAACCGGATGGGGACGAAGCCGTGGACTGAATCCATACGTGGCTTTGGGGTAATAGAGCAGGTAGAAGCTGATGAGGTGCTCCTGGAAGCGGTCCAGATTCACCGGCAAAGCAGCGAAGGGGTCCAGGCGGTCTGAGAAGGGCTGAACGCTGTGGCGCACAATCGCCAGCAGCTTCTCCTCGCGAGTCATGTCCTTGAAGTCTTTGGGTTCAGGCTTTTTCTCCGTCGTGCTTGGGCCATCTTGAGGCTCATGTGACCCAAGGATCGGAGGCTTCGGTTCAATGGGCACCAGCTCCCTCTTGACCCGGACCAAAGCTTTGCTAGTGGAAGACTCCATTGAGGCCCAGCACCATATTGACTGAAAGAGAGATGTCGATTCTTGCTTGTCCGATGCAACAATGAGCAGAGAAGGGAGGCGGATCCAAAACCCGAAGTCGCGGTAAAGGGCCTGTAAGTTGTTGGCCCAAATGGTGCAAGTTTCACAAACCTGGTTCGTCTAACAACCGAAATGAGCGGTGGGTGAGATAGAGACAGGCACAGGCGGCATTTTACCGACCTCGTATCCCGTGCGACCTGCATTGTTGTTTCGAGGGCCGACTGACCACGCCGAGGACATGTTTCTTGTTCGCATGTACTAGGTAGACAAGTCACCCAACTGTGAAACGTCTTTCTACTCAATGCTGCATTGCTCGCAGCGACGTCATAGCACAGGGAGGGAAGCCCTAGGCCCGGTTCCGCACAGCTAAAGATAGCACAGAGGGTACGAAAGTATATTCGGAGGGTGTACCGCCTTTCCAGACTGTCATTTACTACAAGTACAGCCGCAGGAACTTGGAAACCAGACCACAGCCTTCTGGAACCCGGCAAATAAAATCCCAAGGGCGAGGCTAAGCGACGAATTCTGGACACTGGGCTCCGTAGTGTACTCTGCGAATATCTAATGTTCTATCTGTCTAGAGACACTCCAATTCCCTATCTCTCATGTAGCAGTGAAAACAAGAGGTGGATGGTTCGGTCAGGCACCTCCACGCGGAACAGGATGCATGCTATACATACAGCTCCATCCGTCATAGCCTTGCCCTCTCCGGCTCGTCCCTCACCCTCAACCCCCGATCCTTGCCTTCTTTATCCTTGACCTTCAGGATGCGGCGGAGAAGCTTGCCCGTCGGACTCTTGGGCACCTGGTGCGTGAACTCGATCTCGACGATCCACTTGTACCGTACCTTCCTCTCCTTGACGAACTTCAACAGCCGCCTCGCGACCTCGGCGCTCTCTTGGACGCCGTCCTTCACAACGACGTACGCCTTGGGTCGCTCGCCGGAATACTCGTCGGGGGTACCTAGCACCGCGCAGTCCTCGACCTCGGGGTGGCCGAGAAGCAGATCCTCTAGCTCCGCCGGCGGCACCTGTAAGCCCTTGACTTTGATCATCTCCTTGATCCGGTCTTCAATGTGAATCAATCCCTCGGCGTCAAAATGCCCCACGTCCCCCGTGTGGAAGAACCCATCTTTGTCAAATGTCTCCGCTGAAGCCGCCGGATTGTCCAGGTACCCCATTGCGATCTGAGGTCCTCTGGCAAGAATCTCCCCCGTCTCGCCCACACCAAGTTCTTTGCCGGTCGTCAGATCAATCACCTTTGCTTCGGTGTTCGCGACCAACAGGCCTCCCGTAGTCGCGTACTTGTAATCATAATGCGAAGGCGGATGCGCTGAAATACAACATGTCGACTCCGTAGCTCCGTAGCCCTGACGAAAGCCCGTCCAAGGGAACTTTTTCTGCAGCAAGGCTATTATCTCAGGCGAGATGGGTGCGGAGCCGGATGACCAACGATTGACGTGGCGGAGATCAAAGTCGTCAACAATCTTGTCGCGGACAAGGCGGATGATGATTGGCGGGACCAGAATGAGTTCTTGAATTTGAAACTCGCAGATTGCGCGGAGCATGGATTCCATGGTGAAGGAAGGGAGCATCACACTGTCACCATTCATGAAGATCGGGTAGGTGCAGAATCTCACTAGGCCAGTGACTGAAATCATCCAGAGCTATGGTTAGTCTCACCTATTCTTCCCTGTAATGTGGGACAAGACGTACTGTGGAACAGCGGCATGACAGCAAGGATCTTGTACCGCCCAGGAGCTTGGATTTGTCTGAGTTGGTGGCACTGAGCAATGATATTGTGGTGTGAGAGCATAACCTGCACCTCTCTGTCAGCCCGTTCTCCCAAGCATGTAATTCTGATACGGCGGGTACTCACAGCCTTTGGCAATCCCGTCGTTCCGCTGCTGAAATTCAAATACCCACAGATATCCTTGTTCGTCTTGCCCCGCGGTATCTGGTAGGGCGGATCGGGAGTGTACTTCTCACCGCGCTTCATGAGATCTTGAATACTAATGCAACCGTCCGCCTTGCCTTCCAGCAGGAAGACGTGGTGGCGGGGGATGCCGACATTTCGAGCTGCCGCCAATGCCACGTCCAGGGATGTTGGCAGAGTTATTAGGAACCTGGACTTGGCGATCTTCAGGGCATAAGTCATCTCCTCAACATTGTAGGCAGGAGATGCGCCATTGACTCTTCCTCCTGCATCGTCGAGATCAGCCCATCTGAAATTGGAAATCTCTTCGCCCTGGTCGCTCTTGATCTCAAAGAAGATCAAAAAACTCTTTCGAGGGGAGGTCACTGGAACGTACCTGCTCGGATAGTAGCCCACATAGCAACCGGGTACCAAATGGTGTTGGTACTGAACAAGGAAATGGTCTCGCCGGGCTGAAAGCCATATTCTTTGACCAGAGCCGTGCTCAGCTGAGTGGCTGTGGTCTTGACGGCAGCCCAATCCAAGCGTTCTTTGGTGACTGCATTGACGTACCCAGCCAGCGGCTCTCGGGGCGTCTTGTACAGTGGGGAGAATTCTTTCGTCTCAAAAACCCATTGCCACGTCGTGATGTCTTCGGGGACTGTTTCCCACACACTATATTTTAGCAAATCGAAACCCCGGGTACCGGAACAGTGTCCAGTGGAGAGAGTCGCATGATATATGACTTACCTTCTACCCGCGGATGGAAAGACTTAAACAGCACCATGGTTCAAACAGCACCAACTTGCAATGCCCACTCCGTACACCAAGTCACAAGATCATGGGAAAGTAAATCTCAGAGACGAAGAGACAAGAGATGTGCGACGACCGGCTATCTCGGCCATGTTTGCCGCATTATGGTCAGAGAATGTGTGGGGAGCAGCGTAGACAAAGTCCTTGGGTGAAGTTGATGCGGAGTACAGATGCGCAAATACTTCCCAAGACCTCGGCAAAGCAGGGGTCCAGCCGGCGGCGCATTGGGGACCATGGCAAGAAATACTGAGTATAGTTCGATATTTTTGGTCGGCAACTGCATGATGTAAAGGGCTTGTTGGCAGCTAGAAGACTGTATTTGGTGCCTTGATTTGCTGTTTCAAGCTCCAACGGCTGTTGACACGTCCGCATTCTCAAGACTCCCAGCCATACCGAAACCGGAGTCGATCCTTCTTCCCTCGGTAGATCCGCCTATTCCCAGCTCCTTGGCCTTCTTCGCAAACAAACGGAAATCAACTTTAGGTCCATCACGCCAGTTGCCTTCGTCGTCTCGTTCTCTGGCAGGTGGCATGTGTTCGCCACTGACAATGCACAATACTGTCATACCCCGTCTGTACTTCAGCCCGCTCAGCAATTTGGGCGTGATGAGGAAATACTGGCTGCCGCCGTCATCTGCAGCGATATCGACCATTCTGCCATGCACCATGCGTTCGTTTCGTGGATCCATGCCCTGATTGATCTCGTCGACAACTCGGAAAGGCGCTCGACTCAGACTTTGCAGGGCCATCAGGTAGAAGATGGTACTGACGGCTCTTTCACCACCAGACTGACGGTGGCTGTCAAGTAGAGTCAGTGGCTCTTGCTCACGGAATTTGACGCTGATGTGGATGGCCCAATTGGCAAAGTCTAGTCCGTTTTCCATTCCACCATTCTCTTCGGTGCAGTCGGCGGGATTCTCAGATGATGCCTTGTGGACAGCTACCTGCCCAGCACATCCAATTCGCGCGAAAGAATCTGAGAAGGCGTTGTTGATCTTGGCAACAATTTCCTCTAGTCGAGGTTCCCATTTGCCCCGGATAGCTCCAATTGCGTGTCTGAACTCCTCCCGACGCTGATCGGCTTCTTGAATTTTGCTCCGCAGTCTTTGGATTGTTTTGGCTCGCTCCTCGAATTCGGCGATGATACCAGCACTACCTCCCTCTGTCAGCTCCAACTTGGCCTTCTCGGCGTCGATCTCGGCGTCCAGGTTCTCTTCGGTTTTGACAGTTCCGACTATATGAGCAACGAGGTCGGCGAGACTGCCATCACCTTCCTCTGCAGCCTTTTCACTTTCTGCCTTCAATCCCAGAACAATTCCGCGAAGAGTCGTAGCTCGATCGCGCTCCTGGGTGAAAAGCTCACGTGCGGTGGTAAGCTCGGTCTCCTTTTGACTTATGCCTCGGAGGATGTCATCATTTTGCTCTTTCAACACCTCAAAGTCCGATTTTGCCTCGATGTGGAAGACCTCTGCTTCGAGCAGGAGGGCCGTTTTCGACTTGACCTCTCTTGTGGCATCTACAAAGTCGAGGACCGCTTCCGTTTTGTCGATGAGAGCGGCATCATACCGGTCATTGATCTGATTTAACCGGGCCCTGACTCCAGCCAGCGCTTCATTCAAACTGTGGATCTTATCTTCGTGGCTCTGAATCTTGGGGTCCAATCCATTCCATTCTAAGAGGGCTTGTTGTTTTGCTGCCTTTTCTTTCTGCTTGGCATCAATCTTGTTTTGAACGACTGTTCGTTCCTCCTCGACTTGCGCAATCTCTCTTGCAATTTGATCAGATTCAGCCTTGATTTCTGCGTGCTCGCCTTTCACTTCGCTTATCTGTCGTTGCAAAGCAGCCTTTCTTCCCATATCGACAGCCTGTGCTGTCCAGATCCTGGCTTGACGCAGGTCACGGACTCCGGCAGACGTCCCAGCCGCACCATATTCTGCGCGTCGTATAAACTGGTAAGTCTTTCGCCCTGCCGCGTAGCTCTGTATGGGTGTCTTTGCCATGGCGTCGTGCTGTTGCTGACTAAGCTCTCTGGAGCTGATCGCGCACCTGTGAAGGCCTCTTTCATGGCAGAGTTGAGCGAGGACGGTTGGCGGACCTTGCAAATGGTCCAAAGCCCAGCTGCTCAAACCCAACCGCTCCATTTCTTCTCCCGTCAATGGTGGACCGAGTTGGTCCAAGCTGTCAGTGGTGCACTCACGAAGACAATAATCGTGAAGCCCGAGTACCTGGGATAAGTGGCGTTGGAGCAGAATGAAATCGGCTCTGTTCTGGGCCGTGATAAATTTGAAGTCACTGGCTGACAGGAAAGACTCGACCATATCAGCCATGCGTGGGTCTTTGAGCGAACATTCCACGATCGGAGGTCCATACACATGGGCGGTGAATTCATTGCGGTGTTCTTGAATCCACCTCCAAGCCTTGAAGGTGTCCCGCGATAAGTTCTCCAGTTTACTTTCCTGCTGACCGGCTTGTGTCTCAAGTCCTGCAACCTGATCCTTCAGGATTTTGTATTGTTTGACTACTCTGTCGGCTTTGTCTCCCAATTCCGTCCTACGTGACTCCAGGTCACTTTTTTTATCATCCAGTGTTCTCATGCGGGTCCTGAGCTCTTGAATTTCGGCATTCATGGCTTGAGAATCGAATACTTCTGGAACTTCTGCTTTCTTTCGCTTCAGGTCTTGCAGCTTCGTCTGTTCTCGCTGTAACTTTGCTCTATTTTCAGGGACGCTCTTCTTCTCTGCTTGGATTTCGTTGTTCAAGTCGTTTATGACACCTTGTCTGTCTTCAATGGCCTTTGCTTTGCGCTCGCATTCTCTGACACTTGCCGTCAACTCCTTCTCACATGCCGCTTTGAACGCCTGCGCCTCGACTTGGTAGTCTTGCTTAACGTCTAGATCCTGAAGGACAGGAGCCGCCTCGTTTCTAAGCCTGTCGATTTCTTCTGCTAGGTCCGTCATCTTTTGTTTCACAGTCGCGATATTCTCCTTGGCTTTGTAATAATGAACGAGCGGTCGAAATTTCTCCAAGGCTGCGAGTCTCTTTTTGACTGTAGCCCTCTCCCTCATCCGCTCCACCTCTGCGTGTTGCATTGCTTGTCTGCCCTCCAGATTTGCGAGTTGCTCTCGGACATCCCTGTCATCCGTCATGATGTCGTTCTGGGAACTGCGGAGCTTCTTCAGATCCTCATGCCATTTGACCATTTCTGGTCCCGCCACGGCTCGCTGGGTGCTGGCGAGAAGCTCAATGGGGCTCATCTGAGCAAACTCTACGACCTTGTCCTGGGGAAGAAACTGGCAAAGATTATCGATTTGAATGTTGAATGAGTTCGCAAACTGCTTGACCGCAGCACCTGAAGATTGGCTCTCATTCATGAAGAACTTGGATTTGTTGCCCTCTCTTTGTATCACTCTTTTGATAATAGGGTTCACGCGAAACCTGGTCGATCGCTGCAGTTCAATCTCGATGATGGCCTCACGGCAGCCGTGCTTGATGAATTCCGCGGGTTCTTTGGCACGGCCAAGATACTAGCATGCATAAGTGGAAGTGATCAAACATAGGATTCAGTGACCAACTCACACTAGGTGCCCACCCGAGCCCAAGACATATCGCGCAAACAAGCGTACTTTTCCCAGTGCCATTCGGCCCGATGACCATGTTCAAATTCGGTCCAGGAAAGAATTCGGCGGAGGTGTAGGTGACAAAATTTGTAAGCTTGACACGGACAATGGCACCAGGCTGGTGACACGTCCCACGGGAGATGCTGCCGTCGGTGCCATCGTCCACCACCTGCGACTTACGCAGAGACAGGACAGAAGGGATTGCAGCTGCAGGCGACTCGTCCTCGTCATTCTCGACAGGGCTGGCATGTCTTCGGATGCGTTTGCTATCGTTGAGTGTGGTTGAGGAAGGCGTATTCGGGCGCACGTCGTCAGAGTCGGAGTCGGGCGGTCTCGAGCGTCGGGCAGAGCGAGAAGCCATGACAGAGAATATGCAGTCGGGCTCAGATGTTGAGATATTCGCGCGAAGGCCACAGGGCTTGTGGAGGCAGCCGCCGAGTGGCAGTCCCTTGACAGACGCGGTTGATTGCGGGCGTGACGCGACTTTGGTCCCACTCTATCATGTGACGCGTTGATACGCGGCAGTGGGAGTATCACTAAAGTACCGACGAGAGTATCGCTGGAATTGGATTGGTAGCCCTGCCAAGCTCTGCCAAGGAGCTAATGCGAGCATCGAACGCTAACGCTTGTGCATCCTTTGCCCTCCCGTACCGAGTACAGAGCAAGGAGAGATACAGATAATGGGGAACACTCTTTCAGCTCTAGAACTCGGTTGAGCCTTGTCTCATGGTGAACCAATCAACAATCCGGGCGGTCATACCGAGATCTAGAGTGCAGAGTCTGTATGATGTACGCCCGAAGTGACAAAATCAAACTTTGATCACGGAGGGCTCGTGTTGTGAACAAAAGTCCAAGAGAGGAAGACAGGCACTTTCGCTCACAACTCTCTGCCTGCTGAGATCGCGCGTACAAGTACCCGGTACACGACGTCAGCGACAATTCTCCAATCATGTTTGAGCACTGCCTGTCCAGGTAGAAAAGCGTCAAGGGTCTCACTCTGGATAGGCCCTTTCTTCGCGTTCCAAACAGTCAGATGCTAACTACCCTTTTCCAGGCTTTCAGTTTAGCTGATCCCGGACAGGATCTTGACATCTTGTAGCGGCACGGACGTACAATTCTGCGCGAAAAACTGATTGCTCTCTGTTAGGATTAGGTTTCGGGGCCGAGGATAGCTACGTGATCGCACGCGTCCTGACTGTCAAAATGGTTGTGTGAGGAGATCATGTTTCATCCTATGCAGTCGTAAACCGCGCATGACCGGCAGGAGAAGGGATGCGAGTTTATTGGAGCTGGAAAAGCAAGGTAACGAAAGCAGACAATGGGAATCGGAGAGATATGTAGACACTAATAAATCTCTAGATGCTTCCAGAACGTCGCGATTCGGAGGGCCATCGCATACAGTACCTTGTAGAGAACATTTTCAGTTTGACAAGATAAGGGCCAAACTCCGACCCTTATCCACCGAAATATTTTGCCAGTCCAGATCCTCAAGCACGATTCAAGTGGTTTTGTCGCACAGAACTCCTGGGAATCTGGCTGATATGCCATTAGTGAATACAAATAAAGGCATTTCCACCTTTTCCATATATCCGGCCCAGCCCTACCCCATCGCCACATTATAACTAAACGCACCGTTGGGAAGTGGCCCGCGACATTCCCGCAAACCTGTACCTTCACAAATGTTAAATTTTGCTTGCCATTTGCTCCCCCATTTGCCATGCCAATCGACCGCGACTGTCGGCACGACTAGTAGAAGTTACCGCGGGGCACCTGATGATTCAAGTTAGAAGCAGGGACGAGAACGCTGAAAAGGTCTTCTCTTACCGCCAGGAAGATGGCAGTCGTGATCGCGCCGACGACAAAGGCAGTGATGAGAGCCTGGACAAAGATGGTATCTTGGATCTGACGCAATGCAGGCTCCTGAATCCAAACTTCGCGGTCGAAGATCTTGCGGATGATGTTGCGCTTCTCATACTTGGCCACCCAAGGCTCATCTTCGTAGCTATTGGACGAGCCCAAGCTGTCGAATGAACTTTTCTTCAGCCCATGGTCACAAGAAGCTTCGTCTTCATCGTCAAAAAGTTCCCAGGGTCGAAGATGTCGGTGATGCATGCCATGCAGAACCTGTTACGTTAGATGGGCGTCTCGAAAGCGAGGGGCTTGTTATAACGTACGACGCACATGCCCTTCCAGGCGGCGAAAAGAGTTGCGATGCCGATAAAGAGGCCAAGGAAGGCCAAAGCCCTCCAACCACGATTGACTGAACTGAGAGTGATGACGATTGCGTAGATAATCCCGCCGACGATTCCAGCTACGCCCAAGAACCGGGCAAAGGCTTGCCTCGGCTTGTTGCCGTTGCAAATGGTCCAGCGGATGAAGTTGGGATGAGCCTGATGACGGAGAGTCCATTCGACCGTGGCAATGACATCGCGGAATGCTGAAGGATGAGTAGTCACAGATAGTGCCTTCAGCAAGACGGCTTTCTCCTTGGCCGACAAATTGAGCAATCTCGCTCCACCGTCAGCTATGTAGATCGCGATGATGCGTGAGATCTCCTCACGGAAAGGTTGGATAGTGACTGACTTCTGATCAGCGTAAAGAAGCAAAAACGGAAACTTCACCACGTACAAGGCCGAAGGTTCCCTGCTTCCTCGAATGCCGCCTCGGCTCTTTTGCCGTGATCAGTGGTTCCCACTCTAAGGGTTGTTGCATCCTCACTGTAGCCGACGGTTGATGGAGCCATGCTATCGTGATCAGTGGCCGTGGCCGAGGGAGTCCTGGGAGGGGTGTTGAACGGATTTGGAGCGGCATCTGGCACAGCGAGTTTGGCGTGAGGGTCGAAATCGGTACCCTTCAACATTGCTGCAGCAACGCTTGCCATTTTCTTTGGGAGCTTCTCCTTTTCAGCATTCGTCTTCTCCGCCAATGCTTGATCCGCAGTCCACTCGAGGGAAAGCTTTTTCTCGCTGTCCGGGAGCTCATCGAAGCGCTTGCAATAGTCGTGATACCACAGATAGAATTGGAGATTCTCGGCGTCATATTCGATGTAACGGAGGAAGTCCATGAATTCACGTGTAGTCACAGGCTACACCCACAAATAGATCAGCTGAGGAAGTCTGCTGTCAAGGGTCGATCGATTCCAGATATGTAACTTACAGGACATGTTCCGCCACTGATGATTCTGTCGAAGGAGAGGGCGTCGGGAATCCCATAAGGGCAGCTGGAGTTGGAATTGATGGACTCGACTCGACCGCCTTTCTCGGACTCGACCGAATCGCGCGAGGAGGTAACATAGGCAGGGCGGCGATAGGATAGTGAGAGAACCATATTGGCTGATATGGGTGATGTCTCTGACAGGCGACGACCTACAAGTCTTCAAGGATGGAAACCCAGGCGTGATCTGGGAAAGGTGGCACAGAGTATACCGCGGACGGGTCAATGCACACGTGGGAGAAGACGAGGTTATCGTTGCCCAGGTATGCTTGAATCTTTGGCCGAGGGCTCAAAGCCTTCAGAAGGGAAAAGAAGATATCTTCTGGGCAGTGGGTTGGGAGAGCAGAAGGGGGGAGGGGGGGAGTGTGCAGATCCAGAATAGTTGATTTGAATCGAGAGAGAAGCGGGTGAGCGAGAGAAAAGACCCAAATCGAAGTCAAGGTCGTGCTCTGCAAAGACAAAGGAAGTCTCTGGTTGTGTCGTTCCTGCCAGTGTACAGACAGATAGGCAGGCGCAAGGCCGGTTTATGTTCTACTTGTCATACCTGCCCTGCTAAAGGAAAACGTACATAGATGCATTGAGAGTCTCAAGGGGCGGGCCAGCTCCGAACAAGATTCTAGCGAATGAGCACGAGGGAGACACGACACCACGGCAGGCAAAGACATGCCGTGAAGCTTCGTGTTCGATAGGTCTTTGTTGATACTCCGGGGGGGGCTCATGGCCAGGATGTTTCGAAATGGCCGCATGGCGAAATGGCAACAGCGACAGTAGCAAAGGAGGGAGGTTGTTGCTGTGGAGTGGCGGGAAAGGCGCAAGGGGGTTTCCCTAGTTAACGGTAGTGGTTCGTAAAGTCCAGATCGGGGAAGACGAGGGGCATCTGAGTCCATGTGTGGCCATAACGTGGCCATTAGGTGGCTACAGGTGGCTATTAGGTGTCTTGTGTAACCATCAGGAAAAGAGATCGGCTCGATTGCATCGGCATCGTGCATCCACTCGCTAAGCTAGCTCTCACTAATGCAAGCTCCCTGCAGTCGAAAGACCAATCACGCGCCATACGTGCTGGTACCGGGTACATCCAACCATGCATCCAAACCACGCAGCCCCGAGAGCTACGGTAAGTAAGTAAGTACAAGTAGGTACTTACCTACCAGCACTCTCCATGTTCGCCCCACGGGGCCATGGCCTCGTGTCTTTCTCTCTCCACTCTCTGATCGTCCCCCGGTGTGCTTCTCAGAGTGATTGACCACAGGAACATGGGAGGCTACGGGGACGTAGCATACCAATGAACCAAGAACACGGCTCGAGGTGGATGGTGGTTGAGACAACGGAAGAGCGAGAGAGCGGAGCGCGAGAGAGCTTGGGCCACCTTTCCCCACCGTTCCTGGTTCGCCGAGTCGGCCTCCAGTCCACATATCAACACGGCCGGCATCGCCTTCCTCTCGAATCACGAGCCACATGTTGCTGTTCCCTTGCGTGAACAACGCTAGGCAGGAAGAGCTCCGAGCAAAATTCCATCAAGTAGTCAATGGGGCGAATGGCGGAAGTTTGCCCTTTCCACAGTCGACTCAACTTCGAGCCAAAGCAGACTCCCCCATGGATACACACCTGGCGGTTGGGAGCACACCACATGTAGCAATGCATAGCCATTTTCAGTCATGATGGATTTCTCACAAAAGTGGGAACCGAGATAGGCGAGGGGGACAAAACTCGCCATTTCTTCCGACCCATGCCTACTCAGTAGTAGCTGCGTTGCTGCGTTGCCGACCATTTCGATCATCTTGGTTCCCCACACCTCGAGCTTGGCCAGAATTCTCCTGTGCAACCTGTCAAAAGTGACTGGCGTCTTGAAACCCCCTTTTTGGGCATAGCTGATATGGAAAGGTGTCACTGTGTTACTGTCATTGCACAAGCAGCGCCGCCTCACATCCGACCAAAACTTCGGCTGGCTGTACTTCGCACTATCGCTCAAAACCAGGACCCCTTGGCATCTCGATGGCCAGTCTTTCGCCTCAAAGTCAACCCTTCCTGGACAGATGCATTTCTTTTCCCGCGCAAGAACCTGGAAATGCCCTGGTCGACTCAAGATTGTGCCTGGACCTGAGCCTCGCTAGCCTTTGCAGCTGCCTATTTGGATAAGCCTACTTGTACAGGTACCCAGTACTGTACCTCGTCCCGAGTAGTCTGTCAAAGAATCCACCCAAGCTAGTAATAGCACCGATCCCATGTGGCTGGAGTCACTTTGAGATGGTCCCAAGTCCCCGCTTGCCCAGTTCCAGGTACGAGAAGTCTTTTTGGTTCGCTGAATCTTTTCGTAAAAATCACTCCAGCCGTCTCTCCTGTCCAAGCATCAAAGCTACAACCGCCTTGGATAATTTAACGAGGCACTGTTCCGAGAAACTTTGGGCGTGGCCCGTTGTTTTTCATGCTCTTGCTTTTCCATGTGTTTGCTAGTGTACAGAGTTGTGTACTGGGTACTTGGGAGGGCAAGAGCGAATCTCGTCGAATTGCCACTGCGGCCGGGGCAATCAAATTCCCGCCAGAGCTTTCCCGTTTCCGGTGCTGGACTCCACTCGGCCACCAGACCTCCAGACAGAAACCTGTCCAAGCCTGCCTCAGATCGGATTGCACATCTTCCCATGCAGGGGATTACAAGTGGGTACAAGGTACCACAGGCACCTGTGGTTCCGTGCAAGTGGCGAACATGGTTGCTGGCTCACTTGGTGGTGTGGATATCCGCTGAGCTTTTCCTCGCACTGATTTCTTTTGACTTCTTTGGCCAGGGGCCCATTTGGGGCTGAGATCTCTGCCGCAACGCGCCCACTATTGCCCTATCATGATTATCCACCCTGTGGAGTGCACAGATCTAGCCCCAAAGCTGTGGTTGCACGGCTGAACCACGATCCCGAAAGTGCAGGCCTTTGGCTCTCGAAATCATTACCCATTACCTCGTAGGTGGCGATATGTTAACCCGAGCTTGTCCGAGTTGCCCGGTGGAGGAAGTCGGCGGGTGTGGGTGAGCAGTGAGCACAGGAGTCACTGGTTGGTAGAAGCTTTCTTCCACGCCTGTTATATTTGATTCACTCCACGTGCCTGTTCTAGTTTCTCGCAGCGGTTGGTTCATCCCTCACAGTCAGGCCGTGTTTTAGGAATCTAACTTCCTTTTAACGTTTTGAAACGTTCTGACATGCAAGGGATACAGGTTCTAGAAAGGGTCTGTAACGCCTCGGCAGGCCTCAGGGCGAAATTGAAAAGAGCAGAAGCGACATCCTGCGCTCATCCTCACCAAAATTACTAGCGCCTCTGAGGCAAGCCTCGCAATGTTGAAGTGCGGAACCCTCAAACCCGATTCTGAGGGGCCTTCATGGGAAAGGAGGTCCCAGCTCTACCTTTGGAATTTTGGAAATCGCAACACCTTTGATTGACGCCCTGGGTTTACAAAGGACAGGACAGAGCCATTGTGTTGTGCATTCAAGGTTTGTAAGTTGAGTTATTTCAGTTGTCTGCTATATTTGGAGTTTCTTTGTCTGCGATTATTATCGCGTAGTCTTTTTTCTCGAGCTGTGACAACAAAGATAACCATGACTATTCTGATCGTGGCCTTACGGATATCAAGGAGAACTCCCCTTTTATTCCCGGAACATGGACACAAGCCGAACAACAAACTCTGTCTCTTGCCCTGCTCCAGCAGCAACACCATCCGCCTCTCTTCATCCACGTGAGGTTGTCATTTCTACCCTGTACCACGATGTTTTCGTTCTGGTACAGAGATGCTTCGACGTGTCCTGAAAATCAGAATTACTATCGTTGCTCGTCGGTCTCATACTCGGGCTGTTGCACCCACGATCCTTGCAGCTCAGGTGTCTGCGAAGACACTCCTGATTCCCACTCCGACTTGTGTGGAGCGGGAATTACTGTTACTGTGACCCAAACAATCCTTCAGGGGGCTGCTACCAGTACTATCAACACCGCGACGAGCTCCTCTGGCATGACGACAGGTGAGCCGGATGTGAACCCTCCCAATCAAAGCAGTTTGATTCCTAGCTCTGGTGGTACTTCCTCGATGCCTCCTAGTTTACAAGCGTCCTCCATTCCTTCTCGTTTCATCCCAAGCAATACTACCGGGGCAACTGTGGGACCAGGCACTACCAAGACCATACATCTTGTCCCTGCAACTCCCGGCTCAACTGCCAACATCACCGCCAGCGCATCGTCCAGCAAGTGTCCAAAACCAACTGCGTCCACGACAGCAAATTCTACGCCTCCACCTCCAGCCACGATTGCTGGAAGCGTCATCGGCTCTATGGCAGGCTTGGCCCTAATCGTTAGTCTTCTCGTCTGGTGTTGCCGAAGGAAGCGAAAAATAACCTTCAAGCGCAAAGTGCAAAAGACTGATCAAGAAGAGCAGTCGAATGAGCTGCGGTCTGTCAAAGAAGAGAGAGACCAAGCTCTTTGGTGTCTTGAGCAAAACAAGACGCTTCCGAGCCCACGTCCCGTCGACTTCGGCCTTCCTCAGGTACCCAAGAACTCGGGTCCTGTTATGCCACAGCAATGGATATGACCTGTCGTTCCTTTGACCTGTTCAAAGGCCCCAGCAAAAAGTTTGTACAAATTCTAAATCAATGAGTATTGTGTGTACAGCTAAGTGTTTACCTCTACCTTGTCTGCTATATTCCGCGTTGAGAAATATTCCTGGTCCGAATGGTACGTGTGAGAACCATGATGCTGAAAGCGGCCGAGCGGGAGCCTCGAGAAGGACGCCGTGGAGAATGCAACATGTTTTTGGAAGGGCGTCTTCCCCGGAGTCATGCCGCCTGAGGGGGGAAGGCGTTTGTCCTCTCCACCGAAGTGGTCATTGCTCCAGACGGCGGTCCTAGCTCACAAATTGGGCATTGAGTGCTTGCCACAGGCTGCAACCTACTCCTTTTATGTTTCCATCCTGCGAAAACCCCGGGACTGGAATCACACCTAGAACCACGGTACGATCAAGGTAGTGACTTGGGAGGGGAGACCCTACTCGGACTGCTCTGAGAAGATCTCGCTAGGCTCTCATCGGTGGGCCGCTTGAGGGTGGTTGGCCTATTTTATTATCGCGGTCTGAGGAGGTGAGATTTGAGATGTATGATATACTTCAAATCAGAATGCCATTTTTTCGCCACATATTTGCTTGCTCTAGAATACTCTCACATTCCGTCGTCAGCCTCATCGAGTAGCGGGCATGGGCAAGCCAAGGCAAGCATGGGGCAATGCCAGAAGAAGCACCGATGCCAGGAAACCTGCTATAGGTGCTCAATGCGGGTAGAAAACACGTCGAATACACAGGCATAAATCTGTTCTCTACGTTGCCCAGAAACCCATTTGATTACCTGTGAGGCTCCTGTGCCAAAGGGACTTACGGTCCCGTATTGCTCCTCAGACCTCGTCGTCCATCGTCGGTTTGAAGCTCAAACAGGACCGAAGTCGACCTCAGAGTCTCAGACTGTCAGCATACAAACGCTTTGAGTGATCCAACTCACTCTGGCAAAAAGCCGGCGGGTCCGAACACTATTGAACAAGACCGGACGCCGAATCCCTAAGGTCTACGTGCCAACTGAACACCGGATTAGACCTCGTTCTTTGCATGATAACGATCCCGAGATATTGAAAGAAAAAGACGGCCACCAAGGATCACCCCTTAGCGAAAACTCTGCTCATCCAATCCACCATGTCCCCATCCTCGATAGCCCGCTGTTGGGGGAGCGCTTGAAGCTGGACTGCTGGCCCGAGTCGTTGATGCTGGTAAGGCTCAACTCACTGCCGGTACACGCACTTTTCACATGTCCTGGGCACCGGGCCGCTGATGAACGCAGCGAGGCACGCCCTCTGCAGCGCGGTTCACACTCACTTTGCGCCTCCTGCTCCCCAAGCTAACTGTCATAGTGACTCTCTTCTACATGATCACCGAGAGCACAGTATCATCCTGCCTCCAACAATCTTCAAAGCAAGATCTTCCAGCAACCGGCCGGGTCGTGAGGTCTTGGTGAACCCGCGGTCTGGATGCTTGGGTAGAACAGTAACGGCACCCGCACTGCCAACGCCGTGCCAACTGCCCGTCTGCTCGAGGAGCCCATCTCCTCGGGCAATCCAGCCAGGATACCTGGAGGCGACGTTTTCACAGAGAGCAATCTTCTGTCCGGGGCGGCACCTTACTATGTACCTGTATAGGTGGCTGTTGCGGTGGGAAGATTTCGGGCACAATGCCTCCTCCTCCTCCTCCTCCTCCTCGGCATTAATGCGTTGCGATACCGGTCGATCGTCATTCTAAATTCAGCGTGCCCGCCCTACTCGCCCTACCCACCTAAATGTACTCGGAATACTGGCCTATATACCTACCTACCTGGCTCGCACAGCAAGCCTACGTAACAAACGAGTCACATGAGTTTGCACCAGTTTGCACGACTGAGAGGGGAGAAGCGGGAGGGGGCGTCGAATGACAAGTATCAGCCCGAGAAGTATTCATGGGTACTGGCGCAAAAGGTCAGGGCAGAATGGGGGTGGACGGGGGCCGGTGTTGGGAAATAACACCATCGCAAAGCAATCGCTAGGGCTGAAAAGCGAGAGAATTCGAGCTCAGAAAACGCAATACTTATCATCTCCACACTGTGATGACCTGGGCCGAAAAGACGGATATCATTGATTTGGGGACATGTAGCATGAGATTGATTTCCTGATCCCATCCGTCCCCTGTGCACTCGCTTAGTCTGTGAGGCATCCAAAGCACGAAGCACGAGCAAGATTTCCAGTTTTCTCAATCGCACGTTCCCTTTCTCACCCCAGGCCTCAGCCTGATACATTTTCCTTCCCATTTTCTGTTACCAGGTGCCCTCCCTATCCGCCAACTGTTCTCTCTCTCTCTCCCCCCTCCCTTAGTGTGTGCGTGAGTGTGAGACGGGAGCATTTTTCGATAGCATGAACCCTGTCGGTAATACAAAGATCACGGTATCCCTTGTTTTGTGATTCCCAAAAAGACAGTTTAAGACAAGCGAGAAGAAAGCACCATGGTCTAGAAAAGACAAGGGAGCAAGACCCTCCTTCGGACCGGCATCCCCTCGCCCTTCAATTTATCAGATGAAGGTCACCGACCTAGAGAATGTGTCAAATAAAGAGCTTCACTCATCCGGGGGCTCTGAAAAGAGCCCAATCCTCACACGATGGAATTGTGGCAGTTTGGGTATCACCACTGCCATCAGGGCCATGAAGTTGATGGTAAAGTATGTGAAGTCGTAGTGTGTATAGTGCGTACTCAACAGAAACAGGACGATGGGTACGGTGAGAAGGAATTTTTTGGCGGGGGTGTATTGGTCACCGTTGTCGATCTGCTCCCACATGTTGAGGTTGTCGTATGCTCCAGCGTTGAATTCGAACGGCACACCTCGAACCCAGTGGAACATCAGGTACGACCCGGCCATGTAGGTTATGTTTGTGAGAGTCCACGATATCTCTTGGGTAACGCCGGGGATTATGTCAAAGAGAATCTTGAGGCCGACTATCAGGACAGGGTGTATCGTCCAGGCTCCTGCAAATCATTTTGGATTAGTCCTTCGTGGTCTCCCTGTGTCAGGCTGTGGTTATCTCGCCTTGGCGCACCTTTTGCGTTAACCCACTGGGAGTTGAGGTTGGGGAGGGCTGACTGGTCGCTGATCTGTTCTTCTGACTCTGGAGGTTCTTGATATATGATACTGCTAGATCTCCTCCTCCGCCCACCCTTTGTCGTGCTCATAGCTGGATCGTACGACGACACGGGAGGGGCCAGTCTTGCATTGGCTTCGAAGGAGATGGAGCGGTGGAGGGCGGTTTGAGAGGTCATCGAAAATTGCAGGCGTGGTTGCAAACGAGAGAAAGGTATAACTGGGGGGGATTTTAATGGGGAACTATGAGAGAGATATCGTGAGGTGTCAACTGAAGAAGGCCAGCATGTGGTCAGCAACGCGAGGTTATTCTTCCGAGCGAGGGGAGTGGCGTCAGGTTCGTCCGTACCTGAAGTGATCCTCGGGGGATTGCAGCGGGATCAATCGCGTTCGGAGCGTGAAGTTCGCCAACAGCCCGGAGTGCGTTACGGTGAAGTGAAATATATGACACGAGATTTTCAATTCAAGTTGAGAGACTCCAGACGGCGTGAGTGCAGAGTGTATCAGATCCGGAGACACAGAGGCAGAAGGAGCACTCAGTGGGTAGTGAGACGCGCACACTGTTAGGAATCGATGAGGTCCCAGATCGGATTTTAATGGGGAGGAAGCAAGCGTAGCTCTGGCGGCTCGGCGGATGGGGAATTGGTGATGGGAGTAGGGCGGTGGGAAGGGGATCTTGAGAGATCGGCTTTAGTTTGGAGAGATAGCACCAGATGGTACCAGATGGCACAAAGGATGGTGCATAAACCGGTCGATGGGCCCAGCAAGCTCAGTGGCAAGCGACTCCCCAAAGTAAAATAGTCACAGCGCAGGCTACTACTTAGGCTGAGCGCACACGACCCTTTCCGAGATGCCCCCAAGATGCCCCCAAGATCTCCCCTCGCCCCCCAAATCTAGAATATGGGCGGTATGCTAGTCCCGCACCTTCTGCGTCGTCTTGGTCGTCGCACCTCTTGGCAGGCCTGGATAATGCAGCTTGCCCACTCACCACCATCATTTACTTTAATTGAACGCACCACATGTCTTCGATTGGGACATCTGCCCTCCTCCAATTACTGTGGGACTGAGTCTTTATATCCTTTGCTTTCATCTACCGCTTTGTCAACTTAGAGCATCTCTTCTGCCACCTTTTCATAGCCGCGGTGGAACTGAGCTTTCCAGGTCTAATTGTGCCTCTTTGCCTGAATGTTGACTATGTAACAGATTTCCCGACTCGACGCATTGGCGGCTGCGCCTCATCCTTTAGTGAGCTTTTCCAATAGCCATCGCATTACAAGAGCGTTACAAATCCACGCCCAAGTTACCTCATCGATGTATGAATATCTCTTTCGCTGTGGAAGTCAAAGCAACAGAAGGTGAAAAAAAGCACTAAAGAGTTCCTTGATGGAGCCATGACGATGCCAGAAAGACAAAGACGAGTTCGGATACTACAACGCCACTTCCCATTGTGGAGGCGGTGCAGGGTTGCACGCCATGGTCTTGACGTGGGTGACGTTTGGGCAAAAGATACAACAGTTCCTCTTGGCTCCATTCGAATCACAGCGTTGGCCTGGGAGCGGAAACAATATCATCATGAGAATTTGCCCGCTGCTGGTTACATATCAGTCTCTACCACCCAACTTAGAATGTATCGAGAGAAACCAACCGACTTCAGCTACCAAATCCGGAATATCTTGTCGAATTAAAGGAGCTTTCACATAACCTCCAGATCATCAATTGGCGTTCCATGAATTCAGCAATCTGAATTCGGTCTTTTCACCTCTGAAAACAAGGGCTTCAAGAGCTCTCGTCTTGGGCATTTTTTCAGTCATAAGTTGCAATCTTCTTCTTCTTCTTCTTCTTCTTCTTCTTCTTCTTCTTCTTCTTCTTCTTCTTCTTCTTCTTCTTCTTCTTCTTCTTCTTCTTCTTCTTCTTC